TTTCATTAGCAAGCACATTAAAGTGATGTCACTTTTAAGTAAATAAAAATGCAAAAATAAATTATGTCCTTGAGATCACACCTATCAGACCATCAGTCTTTGCTGCAAGAAATTCAAGTTCTGGCATAAACCCATTTTTGGTTTAGGCACATAACTATTTTATTGTCTTAAATAGGAGTACTCTGGCCAACAAAAATTTAAAATCTGTGGATTTTCACGAAGCTGTGGAAAGCAATTTTCACCAGATAACTGCGTCTGCTGAGAAAAATGCAAATTTAAGTGTTTTCATAAGTAACCAGTATTGGAAACCGCTTTCATTGTTCCATTTTTTGTGTCTATTCAGCTTGTTAGATTTCAGGAATTTGCAAAATTTGAACTCCAGCCGCACTCCTCCAGCATTATCATTACAGTGTCCACATCTGGGTTCCAGACACTATCTATATGGGCTGATTTTTTCAGGATGATACTCCCTCTCTGCCTACAATTAGGCTGTGCTGTTCACTGTCTAATTCTAGATAACTTATTAACCATATGGAATAAAGTGATAACTTTTTTTCCCAGTGAAATTCACTTTATTGCTATGAAGAGATACTCTGCTATGGTTAGCAAAATGAATTTAACAAAATCAACATTTAATTTTCCTTCAAATTAGAGCATTTAGGATCAGAACATTGCCCAGTTTCCTGGTGTAGAAGCTGTAAAAATCACCAAGCATCTTTTGCAGTCCTGAAACAGGAATTTACCAAAGTTTTCATCTCCTTATTTTCTTGAATATGGGGGTTGTTCATACACTTTTGAGTGTGACAGCATCATTTCAAATGACTGGTGCCATAGCTGTAGCCATAAAGCCCTTAATGATATGGCAGTAATTTTAAATTATTTTGTCTTAGCAGGCAGTATTTTGTTCTTCCAACAAAACAAACAAAAACAAAGAAACAACAACCCCCCTAAAAAAAAAACTAACAAAAAACTGTGAAAAGTTCTTCAACCCCAAATTTTGGGGGAGATTTGTAAATGTGTTTTACTGGTGGAAGTATTTCACACCACACTACCTTTCTTCAGTTTCTTTATGTCTCAAGAGGTAGGAAAAGAGATTTTTTTTTCCTTTACTCTTAGTTTTTCTGGATTTTTTTAGGGCCTGAGAGCCCTTGGCTGCCATGGAAAAATATTAGAACTTTCTCTATCACAATGCAAAAAATTCAGTGACAACAGGGTTCTAAAAGAAAAAACTTCACCTTTTTCTTGGTGTTCCCTGGAAGCCTCTCTAGTTCATTAAATTAACCATATCCAAAACTGATCTTGTTTTGTTCTGCATGTCATCCTCCATTCTCCATAACACCATTCAACATCAAAAATTCCACCCTTTTATTCCTACAACTCCATATGCCTGAGATCTGTTAATTATGGCATGAAAAGTGTGAATAGGGGGCAGTTTTTTGCTGTTTACTTCCATGCAAATCTAGTGGGCATGAACTCAACTTAGTTTGAAAATTCAGAATGAAGAGGAAATGGCTGTTTCCAAAATGTATGCTTAAACTGTAAAATTCCTTGTCCTTATCACAGGTTGCTTGAAATTTACCAAAATCCTTATGGAGATTTGACAAACTCCATATGATTACAGAGATTTACTTTGTATTTGTATTTTACTTTGTATTTCAAAACAGTATGAGAAATAAACACTAGTAGGTAACTTTACAGTAATAGAAAAAACTTCTGTATTCAATTGACATCCAAATCAGAGAATTTTGTTTTTGTAACTGAGAATCGTTCCTAACTATATTTAACAGAAATGCTTAAATCATGTATTTTTAATGGTATCATTTCATCCCCATAAACAGTTGCAGATCATAAGGCTGCAGGTACAGCCAATGCCATCACATAATCCCAGTCTTCAGCTTCTACTAATTTTTTCCATTATAAATCTTCAACATCCATCATTTTATAGCCATATATTGTAAAAATGAGTCAGTTGTACCATAAGAGCTGCGTCTGGACCAGATCTTGTTGCCCAGCATACACACCAGGCAATTTCTTCTCTAGGAATAATCCTGACTTGGTCTTTCATGAATGTTCTGTGTAAAGTTCCATGTTTTTAATAATGGCCAAGTATGTACATCTTGTGTATCTCATGGAAAGTCATGTGGTGCCAGTGCTGCTTCTCTCAGAGGAGAACATTCACTTCTGTGTTGTGCCATGCTCATAACTAAGAAGCTATTTCAGGTGTCTCATTACACAGAGGAAGTTCAAAAAAAAGATCATTAAAAAGAAGTGTTTCTGCTTTCCTTGTGTGCCAAAAGAACATGAACTTTTTGAGGAAGAAAGCAGCAGGGAGCACACATAGGAGTTGCAGGAGCCCTGTTTTCATGGTTCTAGGGAAGGCAGGAGAAAGAAGAAGAGATACAGAATAACTCAAAACCAAATGACAAATTCTTTTTTGTTAATTGAATCTAAGGGTATGATTTTATGGGAAATTCGCGGAGAGCAATCCCCGTAATCGCACTCTGTTCCCAGGCTTTGCAACAGTATGTAAACACTTATGAGATCCCATATTTTGAAAATAGGATCCTTGTTCATTCTTAACTCAGATGATGCTCACTTAATAAACAGCAATTTAGTATTTGACCTTTCCATTGACTGTGTGTGTCCTCAGGCCTTATTTATACAGAATTTAAATTGTGCAATTAAGTTAGAAAATTACATTTTCTTCACATGGCATTTGACTTCTTGTAGTGTCTAAATGTCTTGAAAACATAATTTACACATTTTACACATAATTTTCACAACCTCTTCCATTATTTTCTCTATAGGTATAGAACCAGGGATACAGAGACGAAGAGAGCAAACAGAACTCCATCTGTTTTGGTTACAAATAAAATTTGAGTACTATTTGCAAAACCATGACTCAAAGTTAAGAGTAAATTCAGAACCTAATTTTGAATGATATTTTAAATAAGCATGTAGACAAGCTATGCTAGTAAAAACAAGATAAACATATCTAACAGGCATTGAAATCTTGGCTCAGCTTATGTTACATACCCTAGCTAAGAATGTAGTGATTAAGTCATCACATCTGAGTCCTATTTCTGAAAAGAGTGCAGTTTCTCTTGCACATGGATGAAAAACATTTAGTTGTTGGGTGTAGAATGTTTCTGTATTACAGGTGAAAAACAGCCCATAAATCCAATATTGAAATAGGAAGGTGGAGAAGCCAGTTAATAAAAATTCTGACTTTTCCACTTTAACCAATCCTAGATTCAAACACTGACACTCTAATTTTTTGTAAATAAAACAATGACCCAAGGCCCAAGAAGAGCTGCCTTGATATAGTAATACCAATAGACAAAAAGAAGAGACCAAAATGAAGATACAGACAAAAATCTTAAATGTACAGTCTGTGAAACAAATTTCAGATCTGATAAGTTTCTTTGTATATATTTAGGTAAGGCTTTTGAAATCACACAGAAGGGCACAATATTTTGCTATAGCAAAAATAATATTTTCTAGTGATCAACCCTCTGTTATTGTGCGAGTTCCTATTTAACATAAGGAAAAATTAGATGTGTGTTAGTGGCAATAATCTGATTACTGAAGAGGTAATTTTCTCAGGATGATAAACATGTAACATTTGTGCATAATAAATATGTGCATTTTTGTGTCTGTGTGTGTGTACTCATTTTATTTATCCATGTGGTGCTTAGTCTTTTTAACTCAGGACTAATTCTTGAAAACTTTGAAAAGCTTCACGCAACCAGTGGTTTTTATTCAATTTACTATGTGTACTTTCTTGTTTTCCCTGGAGAGGTAGAATTGCTCTTCCAGTAAATGACAAATTACTCTGGCCTTAGGCCAAGATTAGCAGGCCTGGAAGTTAGCTCAGTGACACATTTAAGGCATCTAACCATGGTTTTAGGCTGGACATGACAGAAGAGGAGAGATTCTGACTAAACCTCTGTAGAGCTGCAGGCTGCCCTCTGATACTTGTGTCATAGGGCTCTTGGGTGAAGAAATGTGATTTTAGGCATCTCTTTTCAAGAGGTTTCCAGAGAGGGTTTCAATAAAAGATCTAACTTCTCTTTGTCGGCCTAGAAGTGATGGTTTTCAGACTTGAAAAAGATTCAGGCTGAAAGGTAAAAAAAGTTTCAGAGTGCAGAGAAGAAAAGTGTTTTTTAAGAATCTATGTGACATTTCACAGGAGTTCCATTATTTTCCAAGACTATCTGCTTTACAGAATATATGAAAAAGCTTATATCTGAGTTAGAAAGGTGCTGGAATAGGAGTCAGTAGGATCTGCAAATGTTTATTCTCTCTAAAAACTAGGTTAGAAATTGTAGTCAACCAATATCACATGGCCTGAACTCCACAGACCAAATCAGAACCCGGAACTCTTGAGTGGCAGGCCTGAGGTTCTTACCTGTTCCCTTCCAAAAAAATGTGATTTGTACAGATACAGTTTTCTGTTCATTTAAAAGAGAAGGAAAAAGAAAAAGAAAAAGAAAAAGAAAAAAGAAAAAGAAAAAGAAAAAGAAAAAGAAAAAGAAAAAGAAAAAGAAAAAGAAAAAGAAAAAGAAAAAGAAAAAGAAAAAGAAAAAGAAAAAGAAAAAGAAAAAGAAAAAGAAAAAGAAAAAAAGAAAGAGAAAAAGAAAAGAAAAAGAAAAAGAGAAAAATTTACTATGCACAAATATGGACATTTGCAGAGAGCAGTAGAATGAATGTATTTCGGCCTGATTCTCTAAGTGCAACATTTTACGTTCTGATTTGTGCTCAGTTTAAAGAACCCAAACTCAACATGTTTTAATATATATAGTGGAATTTACATAAATGTTAGTCTAATGAATTATAAGCAATCAAAAATAGCCCCTAAATGCATCTCTTCTTTTTCCAGTGGCATTCCCAGTCAACACTGGAATGACTTCACTACTAATGAAGGGTACCTAGAGAATTGAAGTGTCTGAAGTGGATCAAAGGATTGATGTACATGCATTGTAATTGAGTTGTGAAAGGGCACAGATTACCTGGAACACTGCCATGTCTCATACTGCCCTCAGCTGACAGATGAAGCTGTGAAAACAATGGCATTTTACCGCCACAGACTGACATCTGCCAACATAGTGAATTGCCCAAAGGTATGTATAAGACATAGGGTTATAGTTCTGCGATTGCAAAGAATTACTCAGTATTTCATCCAGAAATTTGACCTGCTGGCATCATTCAGCTGCTTTTCCATGAGTTTTAAGATTTGAGACTTGGCTCTTGGGAGTATTTCTCATTCTTCTAATAGCTGTAGTTACACTATAAGGGTGTCCACACTGTATCAGGTAAAAGTTTTTCTCTCCAGGGGTTGATGTCTAAAGAAGGGTGAAGAGAGAAGAGCTTTCATTTTTATACCACTTCCTGCAAATACTCTCCCAGGTTCTGGCGGTTGGGGTGCTTTGAAAGGATTGCAGCTTTGTTTTAATTACTCTTGATATTTTTGTGCTTTTTTTTTTTCCCTAGTGCTTTTTCTGAACCCAGGCTGTGTCTTTACATGGCAAGGCAGTGGCTACTTTGAAATAGAAGAGGTGCCTAAAAGCTGAAGCACTCAGGTTTGAAATTAAATTATTTAGATTAAGATTCAACTGTAGTGAAAGTAATTTCCTCTTTACCATGAACTTCTATGACAGCATTTTTGCGTCTTGTATTTTTTGTATTATTTATTTTTGACTAAAGCCTTGAATCTCAGTTATTTTTTCTGTATGTGAATGTGTGTTCCCTTTTGAAATTATTGCTTTTATGTAAGCCTATACCCCTTCCCTGTACTATCTGACTTAATAGCTCTGGCTTTTGTGCATTTAATTACTTATGTGCTTTTAATATTATTTTATCAGCAAAACAAAATGCTTGCTTCATTTTGAAAATAAGTATGCAAATGCAATTTTTAAAATGCTGATTTAATTTTTTGTTTAAATTTCATGGGAAAAGTTATAATGTTGCTTCTGTCACTATCACATGGCAATGAACAAGTTTATTACTAGGTTTAGAAATGTTCATCTTAAACTATCCTTTAAAATTTCGCCCCTCTGAACCAGTTTTCCTCTCTTTTTCCCCCACTGAAATGCCCATATCTCATTTCCTTCCACAATCACTCTGCAGCCATCACTTGTCCCTGCCTTCCCCCTCACCAACTCCCATCTCCATAGCCCTTGACTATTCTTTCAGTCCTCCACACATCCTCCCTGATGAACACAGCCTCCTGCACAACTAATGTGAGATTATTTGGCTGACTAATTAGCCAGCCATAAATTTAAATATTCTCTGACCAAGTTGTTTGCCTTCCAAATGTACATAAGTTTCTCAGCATCTAGGCCAAAACTCCCTGGCTGTGCTTCAGATCTGGGAGGCCACTCTCTATCTTATACTAGCCCTTGGTTTATATCTTGCAGATACCTACTGTACACCATTAATTATTATACACATGGGTCTGAGTCCCCTGTATCCTTTGGGTTTGGATAGATATTAGCTATTTTTCCACAGTGACAGCAGTAACAGAAGTTGTGCACAGAGGTCATCCCAAAGAAGTTGAAGTTATGTAGTGTTGCAGTCCTGTCTGCCGTGCTTGCCTGACACATTACATACCAACACAGGAAAACAAAACAAAACAAACACCATAAAATGTCAGTAAATACGTTTAGGCTGGCAACCAGGAGATTTTTTGGTTATTGCAGCAGTGAATTACGGAACAGCTTTCTGGGAAGGGAGTTAGGGCAAACTGTTATGGGATGTTAGCATGGCTCTTGGTAAGGGAATAGACTGGTCCTATTTTGCAGTTCCTGCAAGTGGGAAAAGTGAGTCAACTCATTGACCTAGTAATCCCCTCCTAACACTTTGTTCCTAGATGATATCTTTTCTTTAAACAGTTTTCTTTAAACAATTATAAAGCCGATCTGTTAAATGCTCATACCCTACTATTTTCAGAAAAGAACATTGAGACTCCTCTGTATAAACCTACCCATAAGTTTACAAGTCTTTGTTTGACTTGAATCCAGCTTGCAGCTCCATAAAATGAGATGGGTACACCTGTGGATGTTAAAACTAATGGGTCTTACAAATCCTTTGGCAATCTGTAGTGTAAATTGAGGGTATCCAGCTGCTAAGTAAAGAAATATTTTCCACTCAGAACTGTTTAAAAATGATCAGGAGATTAAAGCTGGAATGATCCTGCTCCAAAGGATATATGTTAATGTGTCCTGCAACATCTGGTATCTTATTTTTAAGAAAAATAATTTAAATATTAATTTAGAAATGTTAATATATAATATTAAAATATTAAAATAAAAAATAGATGTACATTGAGAGTATTTTGAATGTGCTATGCAGGTTACTCTAAAATTAGAAGAGTTTATCACTTTAATCCTATATTCTAAGGCAAATTAATTGTCTTTCATCAAACTCCAGTGACTTCAGCGGAGGTGCTGTGAGTCTCCATGCCAGTTCTGTATACCTAGGGCTCATACAAGTCATTTTGCAAATACTGATTGTATAAAATATTCAGCAGTTCTGTTCTGAGTCTTATTCAGGGAATGAGCCTGATTCAAGGGTAATTCTTATTTCATAGGAAAAAAATGAAGATACTGTGGGAAATATTCTATAAATGAAAAAAATACAGAAAGAACTGAAAATAAATCTCTGGTTAAATGAATTGGCCTTTTAAATAGCTAAGTTCTGAAGATACAATAGAGTGAAAAATTAATTCTGTCATTCAGTCCTCTAAAGGGAATAGGATCCCTGTTTTTTTTAGATTTTTCTAAATGTATCTGATACCAGTTACTAAGTCAGCAACTTCTTTTTTAAAAAAATAAGAATAATACTCTACTTAATAATATTTTGATCTATTTATTAATCTATTCCAGATCTTAATATTGAGCATATAAATAGACTTGGAATAAGCAAAGCACATGTACATTCCTCTATATACCAGGAGGACTATCATGAGATAGTGTGCAAACTTTTTGCTCCACAAGCCCAGGCCCCAGCTTTATCTTGTGTCCTTGTCCCTTATAGATTCTCATGAGACAGAGAAACATGGCTGTTTAGTACAAGTGAAATCCTCATTTCTCTTTCTACCACCCCACTCCAGTGATTTTAATCAAATGTCTTTAACGGGTTTTAACTTGGTTCCTCTTGATTTTTGATCCTGAATTAACAAGGTAATTAAAGTATGTGCATAATATATTCCTGACTGTTCCCGTTGAGGTCAGTGGAGAAATCAGTAGCTTGCATAGCTGCTTATGCACCTTCAAGACTCTGTGTGCCATGTTTTTCTCAAATGCAACTTCCAGCATAAATGGCAATGAGTATCAGTTCCTGAAAAATGGTCTTGTGAGCTGAAACTAAGCAGCTGTGCTTCAGAGCTAAAAAACCCAATCACACATTCAAAAAGTCTTGGTGTGAGATGCTCATCTGTAACAGAGAACTGAGTTTAAAAAGTGATACAAGTGCATCCTAATAGCACTGGCACATTAGAAATAGCAATGCAATAGCACAAATACTAAAGGCTTCTATGTGCTGCATGCACATATATGGGTGGGAAAGTTAAACCATTTTCAGTAGGTTATTTAAAGCTAGACTGGAATCACAGTTAACTAATATTTAATATTAGAAAGTGACAGTTTCTGTGGAGCCTCTTGCAGAGATTCAGAATTCTGCTTTGCCAGAAACCTTACTTCAATTTTAAAACATAGTTTTCCTACAAATCAGACACTAAAGTTGTGCTCTGCGCATTTTTTTTTCATCTACTCAATAATCTTCTAACTTCTGCATATCTTGTTGCTTCATTTACAGATTATGGATACATGTGTCCAATACATGGCTGCAGCCTGACATTATCTCCCCTTCTTGGACATCTCAGGTTGTATTCATCTTACTAACAGTACCTGAAATATTTTTGGAAAGACTGTGAGCAACTCCAGATTCTCATGACATAGTACTGTAGAAAAATAACCAAGAAAGTATTTCCTATTCTTAATTCAGAGGAAGTTGTAAATCCCAAACATGAGGTTCTTTTCTTCACTGGCATCATGGCACCATGCTAGGTATCTGGCTTGAGCCATCTTACTTTTTTATCTGGGGTGTCCACACTGATGCCTTAGGATTCCCATGGTCTGCTGGGGTTATCTACATCCTCTAGTGTCAGCCAGAAGTGAAGAGAAATACAAACCCAGTCTCTATGGAAGAAACAGTCTTCTTAGGGAAGTTTCTGCAGACCAAGAAAACTACCTCAAGGACACGGGATGTGAGGAAAATGAATGAGAAAACTAGGCTAGGCTTAGTGCTCTCGGCCATCCCACTGTGTACTTGAGCTCAAGGGTCTGTGGAGTCTATTTCCCAATGACTGAATGCCAGTCTATGGCAGTAGATGTGTGCCTGTGCTCAGAACGCTGCATGGTTACAGTGAGCGGGTCAAGCTATGGTGCTGTGACCACTTTCTCAGACTGGTTTTTACTGACCAACCTCTCAGGAAAGAACCTTCTCTTAAAGTCCAGTCTGAACTTCCCCTAATACAGCTTGTGCCTGTTACCATTGGTCAGCACTTGCCCCTCAGACTTCCCTTCTCCAAGCTGAACAAGCCAAGTGACATAAACCGCTCCTTGTAATTCTTGTGCTCAAGATATTCCACCATCATGGTCACCTTTCTCTGGATAGTAGTTTATATCAATTAGAGAGTATATCTCTCTAATAGTTTAATGTCTTTCTTATATCGTAGTGCCCAAAAGTGCCCCCAGCACTGGAGGTGAGGCTGCCCCAGTGCAGAGCAGAGCAGGACAATCCCCTCCCTTGCCTGGTCAGTGATGCTGTGCCTGATGTCCCCAGGACAGGGCTGGCCCTCCTGGCTGCCAGGGCACTGCTGACTCACATTCAACTTTCTGACTCCCAGATCCCTTTCTGCAGGGCTTCTGCTCCAGCCTTTCATCCCCCAGGGCATATGTATAACCAGGTATATCCCATCCCAGGTGGAGAATTGAGTTTTTTCTCATTTAGTTTCGTGCAGCTGGCAATTGTCCAGCTCTTCAGTCTGTCCTGATCTTTCTGTAGCTCCTTTTGACCCCACAAGGACTCTGGTTTAGTATCATTGGCACACTTTACACTTAATTCCTGCATCCAGATTATTTATAAAAACATTACAAATTGAGCACTGGTGTCTGGACATTAACCTAATATAACCTCATTTACTGTAACCCTTTGAGCCCAACCTGTGAGACAGTTGTTTATCCATGTGAATTATGGCGTATTATGGACTTGCTCAGCTGATTGTAGGACAGTTTATCCAGGATACTTTTGGAGACAGTATCAAAAGTTCTGCTCAAATCCAAACCCAGCGCATTTACTGGCTTCCTTTGGTCAGCTGGGTGGATGACCTTGTCATAAAAGGAAATAAAGTTGCTTAACCAGGACTTCCCCCTCGTGAACCTATGCTGTCTCTCAAGTGTTTTTCAATTACTCTCAGAATATCCTTCTCTATAATTTTACCAGGCACTGAAGTAAGACTGGAGGGCTTGTAATTGCTGGAGCCTTCCTTCTTACCTTTCTTAAAAATTGGGAGAACTGAGTTGAGAGTTGAGTTTTCACTTGTGAGTCTCAGAAGGTATGGGTTCAATGTCCACCACCCTTCCATGTGGGTTAAGAGCATTTCAGACCAGGCCCTGTGTACCTAGAACAGCACAATGGCCAGACATGCCACAGGGCCTGAAACTGGAAAGGAACTGAAGCTTAGACATGGTTGATATATCTGAGTATATAACTCAGTAAAACTTTATGAGAGTAAGAAATATATAATGCCATCCTATATAGACAGCCCATACTAGGAGAGCTCTAACTGTACTCTAACAGGTCTCTGTAAGTACTGTACTTCCTGCTGAACCATTCCAGGGTTAAATAGCTGCTTTTGAGACCACAAGACCAATGCATAGGCTTAATAACTCAAAAGGTATTTCCAGTGTGCTTCACACTTTCCAAATCCTCCTCTACTATTTCCCTGTCTTACCACAAACAATTCTGCTGTCATTGCTCTTATTTTCTTCATTGCTTTCAGACAGTGTTTTCAATGTCATCTCAGGACTTCCTCCTTAAAACTTCTACTTCTAATTAAACATTTGTTAGGTACAAAGAGTGCTTTAAAGGATTGGTATACAACAGTATTAATTGAAAAAAAATTAATTCAGATTAATTTAGTTTTCTGATTTACAGTTTTCTGATTTACAGTTTTTCTCATATTAAGCCTCAAGGGGTTTTCTTTTATCCTCAGATTACTGTTGTTGGCTTGTTTATTCTGTGACTTCATATCTCTGTTTAGAGCAGCAACAGTGTGTCAGCCCTTTCTGATTCTGCTTACTGATCCATCTTCCTATAGAAGTGAGATGTAATGGCAACAGTAATTTGTGCAAATTCCAATTTGTGTTGGGTAAGCCATCATCCAGGAGCTGACACGACTTCTCAGAAACCCATTTGCACTATTGTGGCCTGGGATGACCCAGGATTATGCCTCTGCCTCAGAGTTCCACATGCAATGGGTTCTCCAAAGGTCTTGATTAAACTCTCCTAACTCAGCCAAGGAATTTCCCAACCAGTTATTTTTACTCTAAAGATAACCCTGGAGAGTTACACATCTTTGCAAAACAAAAAAGCAACCATGAGATACACATCTCCACCCAGTGTTATCTTTGCCCTTTTTGTGATATTTAGAACTAGGTAAAGTTTGCCAATTTTATTTTCTTGTGTCTCATTTTCTGGACAGCAGATGGTTCTTTGCCTTGCCAGCCTCAATCTGTAACCCTTCACACCATATATTCAGTGATATATCTATCCAGCACCATCTGAGTCCAGGACAACACCTACTAGATGGATTGATAATTCAGAATAATGCAGTCCCAAACATTTTTTGCTTGTTCCAACATGTCCAAAGACAGCGCACCCCAGACTTTGTCAGGCCACAGAATATACTGGCTGCATCCAGATGGAATGATATTCAGAAGATAAAAGATTCACAGCTAGATTCAGATATGTTCTACATCCTGCATGTTTCCCAGTTTAGAAAAATCTTTTTTTTTTTTTTAATTGCAGTTCAAGGCCAGTATGGCAAAGATGATAAAAATTGTATCTTCTGCCAATAACTACATAAAAAGCACGGTAAAATATGGCATGATTGTAGAATTGGTTATCTTGCAATAGCTTTTCAACAACATTAAAAGCAATGAGAGTATTGTTGCTGTCACATATTTCTAGAAAATTATGTGTTTCTTCCACAATCTGTGTGTTTCTGGTAATGAATGGCAAGCAACAGATTGTCAGAAAAAGAATCAGTGGGCCCTCATTCTCTGTTTTCAGACTGACTCTTGAAACCATATTTAGGTTCTTAGATTTTCACAGAAGATAAAAGCTGGTTTCAGGTGTAATTTATTCTGCAGGTGTGAAACCTACATTGCAGAGACATTTCATTCCCTCTTTAGGGAAATGGAAGAGGTAGTCTATGTAAAAATCACATTCATCTGGAGAATTAAATACGCTAGTGGATTAGGTTCTAAACAAGCAATAGAAAAATATGTTTTTAGTTTAAAGTTGCCCTAAAATATCTATGGCATAAAATACTACTTCACTGTTCCAAAGGAATTCCCCATTATTTATTGTTAAACATTAACCAGTCCCAGCAGACATTTCTTAATAGACTAAACCTTGCAAGTATTGAGTCATATCTCTTGTATTGTGCCACATTATTTTTCAATATTTTTTTATTTTTACTGTTTTGATTGATTAAAATAGAAAACATGTGGAGCCACAACTTCTTCAAGTTTCAATTCAGTGCAGCTTCACAGGAAACATTTATAGGCTTTCAACTGTTCATTCTTTCCAGTATCAGGTACATATTTGCCAACATACTGCCCCACTTCCAGGTTTAATAAATGTTAAAAAGTAAAAAAACAGATCTGTGGCCTGGTGTCCTGCTGTATATTTATGTATCCAGAGGCTAATCACCTTTCAGTTAATCCAGTTTCTAAATGGCAGAAACAATCATGGATAATCTAATGTGGAAATACATAGTATGGGTAAAACTTATTTCTTCCACTGGAGGAAAAGAAACCTAATTCTCTGCTTACGAAAATGTAGGAAAAGGCTGTGCCACTTTGATTTGCTTAAGACTACTCCTACAGGAAATAAACACTGGCATCTTTAGAGAAACGCTTCTGTTCCCTATAAAAACTTTTGTGTTAACATTTCTAGATGCAAAATGAGAAAGGAAACCTGTCATTGACAGAGAAGCCAGCTAGTCTTGTGCTTTCCCCAGGCTACATCTCATCTCTAACAGTTTGGTTCCCCCAAAACATCTTCTTTGAGAATAAAATTAGGTGCTTTCTTCTTTCTTGTCTGCACTAACATAAAACTAGCTACATTTCTCCTAAACTCATGACTACACTATTAACAAGTAATTCAACAACAATTCCTCTTGTAATTTTTGCCTTTTAAACAAAAATTACATTAGGTCTCAGTAGTTACAATACATTTGACATTTGGAGAAGACTTTCATTTTTATTTGGTTTTGTTGTGCTTTCTGATGGCTGCTGTTGGTTAGAAAGGAGATAGCAAGAACTCTTTTCTTCCTGAAAAAGCGGAATTTCTTAGGCATTATCCAAATATTCAGATCTCAAGGCAGAAAGGATCCAACAAACATGAAATCAGAAATGAAGATCTCCTACACATGATTTGGTAAAAGACCAACAACAATTACTACTAAGTCTTCCATTTAATAAGCAACAAAAATACTGTACTGTCTTCTCACTGACTGTAAATCTGTTTTTTGGAAGTGACACAGAGGCTCCTGGAGTGCCATGTTTCAGCCACTGAGTGCACATGAACTGGATGCCATAAAATGATAAAACTACTGCAGCTGACATAGACCTCAGAATACTTCAGATCCTATCTAACCACATTTTATAACCTGGAGCATGCCTGCAGGATGCTTTCTGCTCTTCCCATTAGCTCCCTGCCTCCACCTGCTTAATTTCTCCTGTACTTACACTCTAAATATTTCTCCCATGTTTGTTTCTGTTTTCCATTACTTTTTACTTTTGATTGGTTTCTGTAACCTCATCTCAAAAAGGTTTTTTTCAAATCTGCTGCTTTCTATTATGATGGACCCATTCAAACAGGAGCAGGGACTCCAGGGCATTGGTCACAGCACCAGCCTGACAGAGTTCAGTGTTTGCCACTGCTCTCACTGCTTGTTTGACACAAGAAGTGTTTGGACAATGTTCTCACACACATGGTGTGACTCTTGGGGATGGTGCTGTGCAGGGTCGGGAGTTGGACTTGATGATTCTGGTGGGTCCCTTCCAACTCTGCACATTCTGTGATTCTGAAAAACTGTTGAATTTTGGAGTGGCTCAAGATTCAGACTATGTTGCAGAATTGTATTTTCCAGTTACCCCCTCTCAGTAAAATGAATTCAAACTTTGGGTAAGGATTCAATTAGGTATTCCAATGCTGCTCAAGCCCTGTGTTTGGGCCAGTACTTTTGGCTGACTTACACCAAGAGAATTGTTTTGCCAAAGATAACTTATTGGCTGAAATACTTCTATTCATCAGTGTGCTCATTTAAGAGAGTAAGTAAGTAAGTAAATAAATAAATAAATAAATGCAATTAATACAATAAACAGGCTGTCATAGTACAGTATATCTTAAATAAACAATATTTTTACCATGTGTTGATGATTAATGGATGGCTGTTTCTGGCAAACCACTCAACTATAGCTCCAGGCATGGGACATCATAATTTTCCAAAAAAATAGTAACAGCTCTCCTTATACATGCTTCAGACAGCCGCTATACATTGCAGTTTCCATGAAAAACAGGAATTTGGACTTGGATGAGTTGATTTTTTATAGGCCAGAGCTTATAGCTCATATAAATTGTGCACACATTCCTCAATGGCACAGGCCTCCCTAATATAAAAACAGATGCAGCCTTGTGTTCATGTGGTTCATAGAGTGTGTCAGTGTTGGACTTTTTATTAAAAAAATATCCTGCAGTGGTTGAAAACAAGCCTTCTTGCTTCACTAATTCTGTCCCTTTTCCACTCCTGCCCACTTCCCCCTTCCTGCTGTAGTGGTGCAAGCATTACAGCTGGGCACATCTGCCTCTTGTAACCATCACCAGCATTTCCACTTTGGAAAACAAACACAAAAACCACTGTAGCAGCATTACTGGCAGATAACAGAGTACTTCAATTTGGATTTTTTTCTAGTATTGTCTGGATGATGTATATTATGTTTTTCCACAGCTTAGGAGTTGGCCAGCAGGGAGAATGACTGCCTTGCTGTGACTGTGACACATCAGATCAGGCTGAATCTCCTGGAGAGGACGGGAGATGCAGAGCTGGCTCTTCCCTAGGAGCACTGGATTACGCTCAGCACAGGGGGGATTCTGGAGCGCAGAGCTGGCAGCGGGGGAGGCCGGGCAGGAGGGGGCTCTGCTCAGCGGGACCGGGCTGGCAGCCAGGTCACACAAGGCATGGAAAGAAAGAGACTTTCACAAGACTGAAAGTGGTGGGTTCAGTTTCTTCAGCTTGGGAAGGTAATGAAAATTGCTGGACTGACACTGCCAAGAAAGAAGTGAGAGTTGCTCTTGTTTTTAGTGTGTCTCACTCAGGAGGCCTGGTTCTCTCAAATTTTGATCTATTTTATTACTTTTGTGTTCTAATGCTGCAGAAGGGCAGTGGCCACAAAATTTTGAGGGAGATCTGAGGAGCCATGAGTGGGTTTGAGCATCAGAGACAACTTTCTTCTGGTTCAGCTGTCACAGAAGCTGCAAAACACAGCCTTGGGGCAGGTCCAGGGCCAGTGTCAGTAAATGCAGGTAACCATAATGCTCTTGTAGCACTGCCTGTTGTGTATGAAATCCCATTTCTGAAATAATACACATTAAAAGAGGTGAGTGACAAGGTAACTAAAGTAGAGAGGCTGGCCAAAAAGCAAGCAGAAGGTGAATGAATGAGGAAAGGGTAAAAAGACTTGGAGGTGCCACAGACACTAGTTCAAATAGAAAAACGGAGAGAAGGACCTGCACAGTAACGATAGCCTTCCTACAGAGCTATGAGAAAACACCCTGGAGATGCTGTAAAACTTTTGGATCTAGCTGGTTTATTTATCTTGTTTGGTTTTGCATTTTCTTCCAATAAGAATGTTATTATTCCAGTGGCATCACCTACTCAGATCTGTGTTCAGGCAGACGCTGACATTCTAGAGCAAATCTGAATGAAGCCCAGCAAGACCAATAAGTGCTGGAGCATGTGACATATTGAAAACCTTCACAGAATTGCTTTGCTAAGTCCCAGGAGAAGGCTTGAAACGGAGGAGACCTTATTGCTGTCTCCAGCTCTCATCAGAGCATCTAGAGCCAGACCACCGTCCAAGTGCACTGATAGAACAAGTGGCATATGTAAAATTCTGATTACAAGGAAACTTTAATTCTTTTAATCAGGAAACTCTTGAAGAGGATCCCAGAGACTGGGCAATCTTCATTCCTAAAGATATTCAGAACCCAGCTGGCAAAGCCATGACTCACCTGGTCTTGTTGGGTACATTTAAAGCAACATCAGATTGAAACACTCTCCAGAGGCCTCTTCCAACCTAATTCATTCTGTGACTCTATGACTTAACCAATTATCTTCTGGTATTTTCATTTATCAGTAGTACTTTCCACAATAACCTTATAATATTGATAACTTTCATTAAAACAAGGAACTTTTCCTCATTAAACTGGTTTTAGTGTTCTTTGTAAAAACAGCCTCTGAAAAATTTCATTTTGTCATTATTATTTTTTAAATGTTGTTGCAGACAAGCTGTCTTGAAATACACAGCTGAACTGGAGGAACAGGAACATAATGTTGACCCTCCTTCCTGGCTTGGATATGACTGGGATGGTAACATAATCACCTTCACCAAAAAACACAGATCAGAGCCTGAAAAAACAAATTCTTCAAAATGAAAAATGAAGAAACTGTGCAACATCTCTACAATTCAAGGGTTTTACACAAGAGCATGAAAAGACCACTGTGTTATTTTTTCTTAAAACTAATCACACTTTAATAAAAGGCCATTTGTTGCATTAGTAAGGAAGCATAGCAAATCTTTCTCACAGGAGTATGAATGCCTTCAAGCAAGACAGCTGCACTCAGACAGCACTGCTGACTCTCAGATGTTGATTCAAGCTGTCTTCATCTTTCAATAATGAAAGTTTTTGTAGTCCCATGCAGAGTAAGCAGTGAATAAATTTGCATGTGTTTGTGGTTCTTGTTTGCCATGGAGGTCCTCTCCAGGACATAAACACTCTGACTCCCCAGAGAACTTCACACTGATGTGGCTGGTACTCATCAAGCACAGCCTTCTCGAGAAATTGAGAGCAGTGAGTAGGTAGTGACTGCAGATTCTTTAATACACAACTACACCCATACATTCAAGCACAGTTCTCCACTTCTCAACAGTCACTTGTGCACCCAGAGCCCTCATTCTCATAAAAGCCTCTTGGGCTGAGTCCAACTCTCTAAACAAGCTGATGTTCGTGTCTGCAGGTCTGAACTGTGGGCTGGCTGTCAGCTGACAGAGCAGAAGAACCAAATTAAAGGGAGCACAGATGAAAAAAGTGTTAAAGTATAAATGCTCCAGTTACAAGAATGTCTTCTTATCAGACAGAAAAGATATATGAGCACACAAGGGATTTGCCATTCAAATTCTAATTGCTGATAACCTACTGATCTTCCCTTGTCTAGAGAAAAATACTGTTTAACCTCATTGTAGTGGAACAAGACATTGTTCAATGCCTTTGGGGAAACTCCCAAGAATTTGTCCTTCAACTCATTGTTGACCTTTATATTAACATTCTACCTGGTCTCAACATGTATTAGCTTGGAATGAATATAATCAGTAGCTTTAGTGGTAGCACAATTTTTCTTCTGGCTGATTTAAACTTTAAACAAGTAACTAACAATCCTGACATTTAATTCCTGCTACATTTAGAAAATTAATGAATTCAAAGCCTGAGTTTGCTTTCTTTCGAATATGGAACAAATAACATGTTTTCTTACTGTGTTCTGCCTTAAATTGCTGATGCAGCAGTCCCAAAAACCACAACCTTAATCTCAGAGGCTGACAGGTTTTGTATTTCAGGTGAATAATGGGACCATTAAAAGGATTCAATCTTGTGAAGTACCTGCTAGAATATTTTGATGTTTTCATGTGGTGTGAATCTTGAGGTGCTATTTTCATTTTGGCTGCAGCAGGACATAGAAATCATTACTTTCAACCATTTTTGTGGATATCCAAAACAATTATAATTTATTAATTTTGTGACTTTTAAAAGTATAGTAACTCATATCCAATAATATTGTAATACCTTTAGTAATACTATTAGAAATGTTTTATATATTAGTGTTTATATTAAAAATACACATAATTTGTCATATGCCTCAGTGCCCACCTCATCTCAACAAACACTACATGCAACAGTAAACAGGAAGTGGAGTTTTTAACCATTCTGAATTACAGTAGACATGCTGCCCTTGACTCTTGAAATCCATTAGCCAGGGGCAATTATACCTCCTGGGGAATCCTGTGGCAAAGGAGAAGTAATTTCATAATGTACCATTATGACCTAAAGTACATACACATATATACAAAACTTAAAGCCTGAGCTGACAGTCTGAATTCTTTCCTGCTCCTTGCCATCCCCTTAGCTGGCAGCGACTCTTATGTCAGCCTAAAACACACATTTCACTACTGCTTTTATAAGGTGCCATAGAGAGGTATGGAAAGGCTTTTAAAAGCTCCATTTACTTTACTGTGTGCTTATATTACATGGAATGTGTTATATGTGTATTACACATATAACACAGAACCATCCACAAAAATCAGGCCTGCTCTTGTGCAGGTCTAGCTGCTCCCCTCACCTCCCTCCTCTGCCTTCCTGCCTCCAAGAGGTGCCTGGCAGCTTTCTTTGCAGGACAGGGCTCTAAGTCCCTGCAAACAAAGAGATTCCAGTTCTCAGTCACCAGGGCAACGCTTCCCCTCTGTGGCAACTTTTCCTTTAGAGAAATGCTCATGTGGACTCCCCACCGAAGTCCAGTTGGAGGAGTGCTCCTCCTTGAAAGCAGCCAGATCCATTGCACTTTCATTTATTTTAAAAGCTTTTCTTTGCAGATGAGCAGCGGCAGACAAGAGCTTCAGTTCTTCTTTCTATCCACAAACCAGAGGTTCAGGATGACATGGAACAAGTTCTGCCATTTCAAAGAAGTATTTTTACAGAGTATCCATTGCCCGGGCAGAAACTGCTCCAGGCTCAAACATCAAATGAGAACTACACTGAAAGTGACTTTTTCCTATCCATGATAGCATCTGGTCAAAGAAAATTCTCTGCCTTTTGCATAAACCAGCAGAATTCCCACAGTATTAAGACATTTTAATCAAAAGTATAACAGATCTTGCAAAGCATGTCGTCTTGGAAGCATTGAAAATGTCTTTTTTATTTTTAAATGACAATTCCTGACTTTTGTTTGAAAGCTACCAGCTTTTAAACTGATACGGTAAGTGGGTCAAGTTATATAAATTCTGATTATGTAAGATCATCTAATTCCTAAAAGGCACTAAAAGTAAACCAGACTGTTTAGCACCAGCACTGTCACAGGCAAATCTTGGGTTAAAATGTTCTCATTTTTAATAGCTTTTCTTTTATATTAAGAATATTCATCCAAAAAGTTTCATAATTTTACAAAAATGTTCCTTTGTAGTTTCTTGATTTAATCTCTTTGGCCTATTTCACCTTCAAGAACTCTTCAGCTTGACAGATTGGATCCAGCTTTGGCTTTTAAGACACACTTTGCCATTTTGTGTGTCAGCCTTAATCCATTTGTCTGTTTCATCCCTTTGATTCATGTGACCTGGAAAAGAGAATTGTTTTAGCTTAATCTGACATACAATAAACATATCATCATCACATTGTCATTTTTTTCCAAGCTCCCTGGAAGCACTTATAGCACTTTCATTTGGGAGAATTTGTGTACTTTTAGCAGAGACTTCTGACATTTCCTTTTTGATACAGTTTTTTTGCATTAATCTAATTTCCCATAATACATCTTTACAATAGAGCAGTGGTTTTTATTATATATAGTACTGCACTTTCTATTCTAAGCTAATGTGTTATGGTGAGTTGACCCTGGTTGGATGTCAGGTACCCACCACAGCCACTCTACCACTCTCCTCCTCCAATGAATAGGCCAGAGAAAATATAACAAGAGGCTCATGGGTCAAGATAAGGACAGGGAGAGTTCAGTCAACAATTACTGTCACAGGGAAAACAGACTCAACTTGTGGAAAAAATTAATTTCACTTATTCCCAACCAAATCAGAGAAGGGAAATAAGAAATAAAGCCAAATCTTAAAAACATATCCCAGTCACCCCTCCCTTCATTCCAGGCTTAATTTCACTGCTGATTTCTCTACTTCCTCTCTACCAGAGGCACAGGGAGACAGAGAATGAGGGTTTTGGTCTGTTCACACATTGTCTCCACCACTCCTCTCTCCAGCTGCTGGTGTGCAGTGGGGTTTTTCTCCTTTAACAGTGTTATTCACAATCACTGATGGGCTCAGCCCTGGCCAGTGGTCAGTCCACCTTGGAACAGGCTGGCACGGGCTCTGTAGGACACAGGGGAAGCTTCTGGCAAACAGAAGCCACCCCCAGAGCCCCCACTACCAAAACCTTGCTACACAAACTCTACATGTACTGATTCTCTCTGGGGCAGGGTTAATTTTTTTATAGTAGCTAGGATGGAGCATGTTTTATATTTCTGCTGAAAACAGTGTTGAAAATGTATAAAATTTGTTATTTCTGAGTGGCCCCTCCAGAGTTCCAAGGCCTCTTCTGCATCTAATACTGCCCTGCCAGTGAGGAGACTGGGAATGAATAAGCTGGGAGGGGACAGAGCCAGGACAGCTGACCCCAAATGACCAAAGGGATTTTCTGAACTGTATGGAGTTTTGTATAAGAGCAGAAGTGGGAACAGGGGACATTCAGAGTGACCAGGCTTTTGTCTGATCCAGTAGCTCTTACATGAGATACAGCCCTGCTTTCCTGGGGATGGATGAACACCTGCCTGCCCTGGGAAGTAGTGAAAGGATCCCTTATTTTGCTTGGCTTGCGTGCACAGTTTTTGCTTTATCCATCAAACTGTCTTAATTTCAAGGCCTCTTTATCCCAACCCATGAGTTTTCTCACTTATTTTTCTGCTTTTCTCCCCCATCCCATTGGTGGGGAGTGAGTGGCTGCCTGGTGCTCAATTGCTGGTTCTGGTTAAAGCAGGACTCTACATGAGATACTAATCTGGCTAAGTAATTTCAAAGATTTTAATTGTGATTGTAAACACTGAAAAGAGACATGGCAGGACCTGATTGTCCAGATGACCAGACATTTTGCTGCTATTAATGCTTCCTTATGATAATGGCCTAAAAAAACAACTCTGAAGTATCTCTCTTACATGTTTCACATAAACCCTATTCATAGTCATAGCCTGTAAAGTTCACTGTATAACAAAGAAGAGAGCTCAACTCAGTCTTACTTTATAATTAAGAAACTGAGACCAAGAGAGAATAAGCGACTTTCCAAATTTATACAAAAGATTTGTGTCCATATTGGGAATTAAACTGGGATCTTTAAAGTCCCAAATCAGTGCCATTATCACAAACATCACCCTTCACTTTGGTTTATCTTTACAAAACATCATTTATTATTATTTTAGTGTTCCATTAACTGTGTGAATTTTAAGTTTAGAACTAATTTGAGCCTGGAATAGCAAGAGGGATGGCAGGGAAGCAGATTCTGAACCAACCTTGCAAACATGCTCTGCTCTGACCTGTAACACAGCTGAAATTAGATTCTGGCCACAGTAAAAACAGTGGCAAAACTCCAACTGACATCACTGCATTGGTTTCCACAGTCCAGGCCTATGTGCCAGAACTTTTCAATAGTGTTTCAGTGCTTTAGCTGTTCTAAGTGGGATTCATTTAAGTTTATGGGCCAAACCCACAGCAATTCATAATAGGCTGAGGTATGGTTTGGAAGTACAGAGTTCTCAGAGGAGCCCAACAATGCCAGTCACTTCAGTGTCCCTTCTTATCAGACTACAGCTTGCCTCAGTCATCTCCATGGGGATGTCCCAGTACAATTTCTGCACGCCCCACTGCTCCAGACAGCAGCAGTCTCAATCCCACTCAGTGTATCATTTCTACACTAAAGCAGAATCCACAGACCTACTCACCATCTAACTGAAGACTTAAATCTGTGATGAATCACCAAACTGGACAAATGTGTTGTATAAGGAATACATTAAAATTTGAAAGTTCAGTTCCTCAGAGCTTACCTGAATCACTGATTTTCAACAGTGTTGTATCAGAGAGTATAGAAGGAAAATTAAAATACGATCTGAATTTAAGCATAAATAGTGCTCAAAACATGTCATTAGTCTGGTTTTTAACAGAAAACAGCCTCCAGGTGACAAGAAATTGAACCAACAAAGAAGTATAAAGGAAAATTTCAGCTGATCATTTAACAGAGTTGTAGCACACTGAAAATACAGCTTTTTCTCCTAGGGAGAGAGGACACAATAAATGCAGGGCAGCTATATATTTCCAGAAAATGCATACTGGAGTGCTTGGTCCCAGTTCTTCTCTCTCACGTTTTTGTGACTATGGCTTGTACTTCTGCACAAGAAACAAACACTGAAGCACAGAATCAGTGCTGAAAATGTTTTCATGCACTGCTTACACCTTGGCAAAGAAGTTGAAGAAAAGTTTACGGAACACAGGAACAAATTTACAAGAGCCATTTTAAAGCTGAGTTGCTGTTGGAGCTCTGTTTCTCATTTTGCTTTTTCTGTCTGAATGTAGAAAAAAGTTTTCTTCCTTATATTTCTGGAAATTTTCCTGTGAGGGAAATATTAAGGTTATTAAGCCCATCACTAGTAGAAGGTTCGAAGTTATTTCTGATATTTAAATAGCTTTGTGTATGAGGCACTAATCAAACAAGGTTCAGTAGGAGACCTGATGGCTGCTTGGGTCTTAACTGTACTCACTGCTTGTACTCTGAATATAATGAGAACATAAGTGGATTTTGAGGAAGACTTTGCTAGATTGATTAAATCACAAAAGCAAACAGCCTCCTGGATTGAGAATGGGGCGGGGGGGAAATTAATTTCAAAACCTACTAGTCAAGACAGCAGCAGGAGTTCATGAGACGACAGATACACCATTATGCTGTGTGGCCACCTTTTCAGTTTAATGCCCAGGAAAAAGGTTGTGGGTTTTTTCCCCCTCTCCAGCATGTGGTGTTTAAAGGAAGGTAACACATATGCAAAACTTTACACAGTTAAGTGCTGGCTGTTTATTTACTTCCCTTCCTGGAGACTGGAGAAGTTGAGAGCTCTATTTTCATACCACAAAACACAAGAAGAGGATCATATTTTAAGTGTTGTTCATTGGTAGCTTTAGGACTGTGGTATATATCAAAAGGCTGTGAACAGCTTGAGTTGAATACAAGCTGAAACCAATAAAAATCTGTAGGACAGCATCTCATCTAATGTGTTTAATAAAAGTTGGATGAACTTTCTATTTGACTCAAAGGAATGTAATCTTTTCCAGATACAACCTGGGTCTTTGTTTATTTTTTTTAAGATATTGCTTAAGGATCAAGGCTTCACAGAGGGCAGTGTGTAGAGGGACACTATAAAACAAAGCACTTCCCACTCAATTCTAATGGCTAAGAGTCAATAAAAACTGCTTCTAAGAAAGAAGGAAAGTTCTGAAGTGCCTTGAGAACAGACTAAACAGGGGAGGCATGACAGCAGATAGTGTTACTCCTGGGATCAGAACTGCAATGCTGACTGCAACAAACCCAAGACAGCTGCACAGTGGGAGAAGGAGCTCTACACTTGGGCAGCTGGTAAACTTCAGATAAAACCTAAAGTTTCAGCAGACTGACATAATACAAGCTCTTTCAGTTATTTCCCTTTTAAAGGCAAGTTTCTTGTCTCATGTTATTCACTGCCATTCAGCTGTTTGTATTTACCCCTTGAACTCCAGGCAGCTAAAAACACAGACATTACCTTGGAGTAAGCAATATAGAATTTCTCATGATGAAGACTCTTAAACACATCCATCCATAAAGCTTTGTGCATGGTATAAGGGACTCATGCAGTCAGCCCCCTCTGGCACACTGGCCTTAAAGCAATCCTAAAGGGAAGGCCATAGCATTCCATAGGCTGCTCTCCCAGTACTACTGTATGAGCAACCACTGAGTGAACAGTGAAAAGTAACTACTCCTGATGGCAGGAAACATCTGTCTAGATCCCCTTTGCTCCAGCAGGGAACATCAGGCAGAAGTGAAAGTTGTAATATTTCAGTGCATGCTTGAATGAATGATTGTTGTAAGGAGAAAGGTGTTTCTCACCACAATCTACGGGAAGAACCAGGCAGGTTGAGAAAACCTGAATCATGTCAGTAAGAGAAACCTGAAAAGCCAGAGGTAGGACAGCAGTGTCAAAGGAATCTGGTAATTACAGACAGGCTGACTCTCCAGAGGCATGGTAAGAAAGCCAGCTAAGAAGTTCTGCAGTATTAAAAGAATAATTAGATATTTCATCAACCCATAAGGTAGAGGCAATGTGTACCTGAAAATTTGCACAGTGGAAAAGGAGTTAGAGAAGTCAATGGGGGATTTCCTCTCCATGCCCTGTATACACATCTGAGGGAAGGCATAAATTAACGTGGCAGACTCCCATTACCTTCACGGTTACCAGAAGCACGGCTCAGAGGAACACTGCTCTCAGGTGGCTTAGCAAAGCTCTTGTGCTGTAGCCAGGATGGGATTAGCACCAAAACCTAGAAGTCCTGTTAACTGCTGCAATGGCTGTGATGCTGACAACAACCGGGAGCAAGTATGTCTCAACTTCGAAAAAAACAGTAACTCCCAAAGCACATGCTCCTTGTGTAAGGACAGAGAAAATACAAAGGGGTTTGCCAGTTGAGAAGGTAAGAACAGGGAGACACAAGAACCATGACCAACATCCACAGCCTCTGAGGAGCACTTGTGACATGGTGGGACTTTTACCATGGAAACTCACACAGCTGCTGCAAACCAGATGAAGTGACTGCAAAGTTAAAAAATTACTCAGCACCAAGCAGATGACATCAGGTGAAAGACTGCCACTGGATAGGAACTTGGCACTAGAACTGGGGCAAGGATGGAGAAACATCCAAAATCAGGTGAGTACCTGGCACCACTCAGAGATGAGATTTACATGGTTTATTTTCAAGACAATTATGTCAATGTAAATTGACACCATTAGCTACAAGGATTCAAATAAAGTCTCTGAATAACTGCAAGACTTTTTCCAGAAAGTTTACAGTGGTTAACACACAAGCTGGCAACCAAAGTGGCTATATGTGTGTCCAGTGGCTGCATTTCTTTTAGTCCTCATGCTGATAGCCTTCCTTTGTTACTGTGGAGTGGGTGGGAGCAGATGGTCACATCAACCTGAGACAAGAGAAAACGGAGCTGAAAGCCTCTCTGGAGGAAGCACTGAATTTGGTCTGAAATGCTCACAATCTGCAGTACTGACAGTCCTACTGCCTCCCCAGAAAAGTGCTATAAGGAAGTTTACCTTGCTGTTTAGCAAAGTTTCCTTTACCATAAGGTCAAGTTATACTTTCTAGTCCTATTGCCAGTATTAATAAATAAAACAATTTATTTCTTTATTTCTCTGTAGCCACTTCTTATGTACTAGAAACATGCATCTTCTCTTCCCTTTGTCTTCTCTTTTGAGACAAAACCAGAACTTTTCAGTCTTCTCTCATTAATCATGATTTTAGGACTCTGATGACATGTTCTCCTTTAGAGATTCTACAGTTTTGAAGGACAGTACTCAAAATTGGACAGATTCCAGAAAATTATTACTAATGCCATGTAAAGGCAAAGCATTGAGTTTTACAGAACAAGCATGTTAATATGCTGTTTGTTTTCAATGGTATAACACTACCGTTTCCTGATATTACTTAAATATTGCTCCTCTTGGGACTACATGCTAATTGTTCCTAACTCTGTACTTTGAACTTACTGGAAAATGGCCTAAAAAGCATATAAATCAAAATCACTTGAACTTTAACCTTGACCTTCAATATGTTTGCTACCCCTTTGACATAACAGTCTCTTAAGTTCATTTTCTGCTTAAATATTTAACTCTTTTTAGCCTGCTACACTTTCTCTTACCACATGTAGTACCTATAGCTAATTACCTCTGCTGGCGTAAGATTTAAGAGCACATGCAGACTTGGAGACAGGGAGAAGGCAAACTGAGCAGTAGGGCTCAGAGCTTCCCTTCTTGGCAGTGAAAAGAAAAAACACCTTGACATGATTACAATCAGAAATTACTGGAATTGCTCAAGCACTCTAAAGACAGACAGCCAAACACTTCCCCTGACAAAAGCTAGACCAGAGTCTACTCTGTTTTTGTAACATTGCACTTTACCATACATACTACTTCTAAGACTACCTACTGATGCCAATGGAAACAGATGCCTTGCCCTTGCAAATTACTTCAAAGAATGAACTCCCTGTCACTGCTCTCTAGCTCCTTCCCTTTCTCAGCAAGTGTCTCAATTTTGCAGGCAAGTCCCTTTTTTTCCTAAAAGAGAAAAAAAAACATTTTCACACATCCTTCTGTCTCTGGAGCACTCACTCCAGACTTCCATCATCTTGCTTTCACTACATCCCCCTCTGTTCCTTGGCTGTCTGGAAAAACCCTGGCTGTGAGTACTTGTGAGGTTGTACTGACTCCCCCCTCGGTGTGGAAGCTGGGGGGATGATGTACATGTTAACTGCTCTAAAGCAGTAGGGAAGGCTTTCCTAGAGCAGGGAAGTGCAGGACAAAGTGCATGTTTACCCAAGTCACAGAACTCTATCCTGTCTTCCCACTGGACTGTCCTTTCAAATATTCCCAGAGGCAAGTAAAACTTCCTAAGAGGTCACAGTTCCTGTGTTATTCACATGAGAACTAGATTTTCTAAAAAATCATCTGGTTTTAAACTAATCTTTGAACTCAAAAGCACAAAACTCCTAAACTGCCATTCTCTTGTGATACAGTTTTAAACCCCTTGGCAAAGCCCCTCTTCCCTCTCTATTTTACATTTCTTCAGTCACAGCAGCAGGACAGCTAAGGACCTTGTACCTGAAACTTCAGCAGTGAATAATGTTCTCAGGATACAGAAATTGTATTAAATGATTTTCAATTATTTGAGAATCTAATTATACAAGCAAATTAGCAAATAACACTTTTAGGAAAAAGCAATTGTTGATAATGAGGGGTAAGTTCTTTGCCTGCAGAAAGAATACACCATAAGACAAAGAGAACTAGAACCAGGAAGTCCCTCCCTTTTTATGTAATACCTTACCTTCTTTTAAAAACTGATACTCATTGGCCTAATACTATTGCCTTTGTATAATTCTTGATGATTTCTGTGCCTTTGGGATATGCATATTTGAGAGTTATCTTATCAGTCACTTTTGGCCCCAAGTGACTAGATCATTTCCATACAGAACAGTGGGTTGAAAAATGACATCTCCTTCAGTGATGACTGTCCTACATAAACACTGACTGGGTTGTGAAACCAGAGCAGTCATTCAGCTGTGTATATTTGAAACACCACTCTTATCTATAATGTTGCCAAAGTAGCAAGATGATTGATTGGCCCGTGGTCCTCATTCACTGAAAAGAAGTCTTCTTTTACTGCTGAGATGTTTCATTCCACTGAGTCTCGCTGGGGTCCTTCCACAGATTTCTAGCCTGAGAACTTCTAATTATGGTTTTTAAAGAAACTGTATTTAATAATCACTATTAAATTTAAGTGCTAGTCTTCCTAGGGAGGAAGAGATTATATAAGCAGGCTACTTACTAAACTTATGTAATTACACTTCTTATGTTTCCTGACTTTAAGATTACCATCTTACATGGGGGAGGAAAAGAGTTTTTCTGCATATTTTCTTAGGTTTAAAACCAGAGTAAAACCCAAAGCCTTACCCAATCTGCTATCACATCAGGTCACACTGACATAACACGTTCAAACAAAGCTGGAGCCCTCAGACACATTAAGTTAATGTATTCTCTAGAGCAAACTGTTTAATTGGTAAAAGCCAGCAGCCTTAACTTCTAGATAGCCACATCTGGACTGGGGGAGAGAAATACACACCCTGACAGTGAATTGTGCAACTGCTTTCTAAAGCAGGAAACAGCAAGACCTGGGATTCTAAGTTCAATTTTAAATGCCTTACAAGAATCTTTCCAGTAACTGCAGATACCTTTCCATGTACTCCCTCTCTATTGCTCCAGCTTCTTCTGCTCTTCTCATCTCCCACCCATCGTTTCTCAGCCTATCCTGCAGTACTGTACATTTATATATATATGCCATATAGCCCTTTTACTTCCCCCTTTGACTCAGAAACAGACAGATATTTTTAAATTATATTTTTAATATAATAGGTTGCCTAGGAAAGTCTACGTGACTTTCTAAGCCAACAAAGCAATGGGTCAAATTCAGCTCTGGAGTACCTCCCACAAATTCATTGGACTAACACTGAAGAGGAACTTGGCTCTAAGACCTTTGTTAGAAGAAGTTGATTACATTCACAAGTCATTTACCAAATAAAATTTTCAAGTCATCCAGTAACATGGGGAGTACAACAGCACAAGCAAACATCTGAATGTGAAGCAGATTAAACAAGCAGCCGCCAAGGGCAATAAACTAATAAAGAAATGTAGATGCCTTTGACTTAGGCCAGACAGACATTTATTGGAAGCCAAGATTAGTAAGCCTTACCACTTAGAGTTACATGATCGTCTTTGGAGGCACTCTGTGTTTCTTTTAACTGGATCTCTGAGCTCACATCCACTTTTCTTCCAGACAGCTCTAAATAAGCTTTGAGAGACGCAGGTACCTTGACTGTAATTGAACCTGGTATAAATTTAAGTGAAAGCTAGTTAGTTTAACCCTGAGATCAAAGCATGAAATAGTCCATTATTCCACTAACTGGAATCAAATTATCTGGTTGTGCTTGGTTGGTTTTTTTTTTTTAAAGTCTTCAGAAACAGTAATCCCCTTTTTTTTTGGTCACTGAAAGGATAAATGAAGGTATCTTCATTTATCATAAACAGAGTATGTCCCATATAGAAAATAGTTATCACAGTATTTCCTTCACAGACATGAAAATAAATAGTGTCATACACTTCTAGCATTGTCTTTTGGCAGAGGATCTTATTACAAGAATGATCAAGGGAAGCAAATATAACAGATCTCACGGGTATTATGACTTTAAGTTCATCTTCTAGTTGCATATTGACATTCCTGAGCAAGGACAGGGCATAAGACTTGACAAATAACCCAGCCACTGCACGGCACATGATGAAATAATTGCTCTGGAAGGATGAGACTCTGCTCACTTACTGTGAGCACTGGTGATTGTCTTTGCTTTACTGCTCAGGGACAGCTGTTCACATCCTCCAGCAGATGCAGTCTCAAAGCTGACTAACCAGCTTAGACTAAGCATCACTAATATGTAAACTAGTAGCAAAATTGCAGCTTTGGTGGCCTGAATAATTCTACTTCACGATTAAAAACAGATATTCTGACTTCTGCTTGCCCTAAATATGTGCATCTGTGCATCAGACCAAAGGCAGACACTGGGCCCCCAACCTGCTCACATTAGTCATATCTTTGGAATAACTCAGTCACAAAGTTTGAAAGCTCTCTCCTACACATTACATCAAAAACCTGAAAAATTCAGAATACGTTTCCTTTTTATGTGCTCCTTAGTTTTTGCTCAACTTTAACATTCACTTTAGAAAAACATAAAACAGTTTCTTGACATACATTCCAGAAACTTAAGCAGAACATGGTAAGAATAACAACTAAGTAGCACCAGAAAGCAACCCTAGCTAAGCAATTTAGACTCAGCAGAATCACTTGCCTGTGACAGTTCTGATGAACAAATAACTTCCAGTATAATTTAGGCCTGCATTTTTCTGCATTCACAAAGGCCTTAGAATAAGAAAGGGAAAAGGTCTTCATCTTTGGGTCCTCTTTGGAGAGTTGCACAGTGATGACTCATAAAAACCAACACACACACAGCTCATTTATCACAAATGGGACATTTTCTACACTGCAGCTGTCGGCAGTTATTCTGAATTTACAGGGTAAACAGAAACAGAACTTCAACTTTGCCTTTACTAAACTGTGCTGCCAGAAGAGATGTCAGAAAATATTTTGAAAATAACATTAATTAGCTTTTATTAAATATATTCCTCTTCTAACTCAAATAGACATTAACTTAGCAAAATAAGTGACACAAAAGGTAACCAAGAAATAATATAAATTTCTTTTCACTAATGAAAAAATAATTGATTGTACATAAAGATGCACAAATAATTTCAATTCACTGACACCATCAGTCCCATTTTGAGTAACTGTTAGGTTTTAACAGGCACAGGCATTGTCTCAGAGGAGACAGAGGTGAACCAAATACCAGGTTCACTTTAACCACCTGAAGTGCCTGACATGACATTATAGTCAAGTATAAAAATGCTGTAGTGTGTTTTGGATGTTTTTTGTTTGTTTGCATTTTCGGTTTTTTGGTGTTGTGTGTTGTTTTTTTTTTCCCAACTAGGATCAGCAAGATGTTTCCAGGGCTCTGTAATTTACAGTATCATATCTTCAGAGTGGCAAAACTATGAATTCAACCTTAGGTGAGAGCTTTTAACTAAGAAGAGAAATTTTAGTGAGTAAGCAGGAGAGAAAATTAAGGCCAAATGCTAATGTAAGGCTCTCCTATCTTTATTTTTCTGCCTTCAAATTTTCACAGTAGATATTTCAGTCAGAAGGCAAGAAAAATAAATGTATGTGTGTCAGTTATCACTGTACATACAGCATCATGGAGAAAACTGCTCAAGGCAAAGGAACACTGCAAGACTAGTCAGCTCTGCAGAATTCTGCTGGGTATATTGCCAGGAAAAAAAAGAAAAACATTGAAAACCACAACTACTTTTAATCCTTCTTAAGTATTCTTATCCCTTACAGAGCTTATTATATTTTAAGTATTTATAGACATCTTCCAATAATGATGAAAAAAAAAGATGTAAATAGCCAACAATCACAAACTTTTCTTTAGAGACAGATAAAAAAAACCCAAAACAAACCTTTTATCTCCTTTTCTTTTACACCAAAATCTGCCACAAAAAATATTTTTAGTTTGCTAACCTTTCTGGGATTTCAGATCCACTTTTCTTAACTGACTGACATAAACATCGATTGTCCCATGATACGTAGAAGCTTTTAGACTTCCATCTGATGAATCTATAAAAAGAAAAACCAAACCAATTCATGTATCATTTACTCTTTTTAAGTAAAGACTTACCAGATTTTTTCTTTATACCTCAAACTGATTTTTATCAATTCTCCTCTGTTTAAGAAGTACCATAATAATTTACAGGATGTCAGCCTTCACTTAGAGTAATAGGTTTCTGAAAAAACCCTATCTCCCCAGTCCAGAATTGGGACACACTCTGGTCCTCAGGCTGTAGCTCTGCAGTTGTTCTACATCTACAAAGGCCCAACTGCAGTGCACCTCTTTCTACAGGAATGTCCTTACCTTTGTGTGAAAATCAAGCACAAAACTTGAATACTAAGATCTCTTTTAGTTTCCAAAAGAGTTCATTTGCTCAGAGTCTGTGAGGGGAGAACTTTACCCAGGAAAGAACCCCCATGCAAAAATCAAGCAGCTGTTCACTGCAACATCTTGTTACACAGATATATTCTTGTTATACAGAATAACTGAATACAGGCTTTGTAAAGTCTGATTCACTACATTCGAATGATCAACAAATGTTTAATATGTGCAAGAAAACAGCATTTGTTCTGTGCCCTAGAATAGGGAGACTAAATTTTCTTTCATACTTTATTAGCAGAAATTTAGGATCATAAAAATTTGCAAAGAAGAATTTTTACTAATAGTCTTTAAGAAGCTTTAATTGTACCCTTCAGTAGTCTTTATTTGCAATGTATTCCAATTTTAAACACATAGACTTCCACAATATTAAGTGAAGTCCCAAGAGTTTAATTTCAAACTACTAAACAAGCTTATACATAATAAAAATGGCAAAGAAAATATAAAAAAAACCAAGAGAAGCATAAAAAAATTACATTTTAAAGTAAGCAAAAGGCAGTTACTGTGAGGTGTTTTTAGAGACAAAGCTAGAAATTCAAGTATTGGCAAGAAATCCTGAGACACTGATAGAGACTGGTTTCTGAATATGCATAGAGCAAACCCAACAGCCAAACTATTAGAAGTAGCTAAAATAATAAAATAACACCTGAATGAAACTTCCCATTTTAAAAAGCAAAAGCATTAATGAGAGAATGAATTTAATTAATCACAACAAGGATGTGTCATATTAACATTTTATGCTTGCCATACAGTTTTACCTCTAATTAAATTCATCTGTAGCTTTTCTGATCCCAGGTTCCAAGCACAGATGCCAAAGATCAGTGCATTGCTTACAACAGCAAAAACACAGAAAAGGATCTTTATCCCACAGCTGAAGCTGATTTCTTTGGAAGGGAAAGTAATTAAAAAAAAGCAGCTAATCCATACTTAGCTGAGAAATGGAGAAGGGCTTTGGCTATAAAGAAAACATTAGTAGCTAGAACTGAATGTGAATGCTTCTGACATCTCAAGACTTTGTATTAAAGAGGGCGTGTTTGAAATCTGAAAAAAAAAATTAACTATTAATAATTAAGAGTTTTGCTTGTCTAAGTGAAAATGAAACACTGATTTTAACTAATGACTTTTTAAAAGGTTGCTCATAATAGTTGAAAAGTTAAAGTCATTAGAACTGGAAAATTTGACATGCATCAACTTTTTAAATGCACATTTTAAGTAGTGATCACTAGAAGCTTTCACACAAAAGCTGTTTTGCAGATATTCCCCATCAAATTTAGTAACAGCCAATTATCAACCCTCCACATAATCTTGACAGAGATTTTGTTGGCAACAGATACAGGAAGCATCCAGCCTTTCACTCTTCTGCTTTAAACAACCCATAGTAAGTTCCTTATCTATTCTAGGAAGAAAGAAGAGTCTCCTGTGACAGAACAGCAGCTCTCCCCAGGGAGAACAGCTACATACAGTCCACACACCACCAGCTGATGGTGCTTTAGAGGGAACAACATTTACCCACTGAAACCTTACTCTTCCCACTTCTCAAATGCAAAAGCAGCTCCTGTGAGATTCTTCCCAGTGAGAAGTCAACTTTTGTGATTCTACAAGACTGAACAAAGTGTTCTTTCCTAGATCTTCAATTAATAAATACTAAAATAAAAAGAATTCTCATTTTGTGAGAGACTGGATTGGGTTTGCAGAAGACATCAGCATGAATAAAGGAAGCAGGAGCGGGGCAGTAAGGACAGGCTCACCAAGGCACAGATTTATGAGAAAACCAAAAACAGCCTTGAGGGAGATGGAAGACATTGTCTTTTCCATTGAAGAACAGTTTTGGGAGGATGACTTGCCAGATTTCAAATCCAGAGCACCTCACTAATACAAAGTTTCCTATGGCTGAAGAAACTACAGCAGAGTTTCAAAACCACCAAGAAGCTTGGCAGCACTAACCAAACACTAAACCTGACACTAAAATACTGTACAGTAAACAACTGTTAAGCTTTGACCTGTGGAAGTAACATGAACGATATTTTATGGAAACAACAGAATATGATTTATGTAATGAACATTACAGATATGATGTTATATTTAACAAGTGTGTATATACAATTAATAATACCAAGAAACATGGAATTGTTCATCACTTCTTCAAAGTCTGTAAAGTTGCTGTTTTAAGTTTTTCTCTAACTCTTAACAAATAAAGTGGAATAAAAGGGAAATGGATTAAAAAAAACCAAAACACCCATAGATGAGGCACCAAAAAGTACCCAAATCTAAATAAATAAGTATTTCAACAATAAAAAATTACCATACACTAAATGCATAGGCTGATAGGATAAAACACATAACAAATAGTAATAGAGACAATACGTATTTTATGGTTAGCACAGACCAAACCTAAGGCAATTTATTTTCAAATATATACCCAGTTCTAGCTGATATCAATGTGAATAACTGAAGATAAAAATAAGGAAAAAATGAATAGTTTGAATTCAGAGTTTGCTGAGGACTGACAGGGAAAAGGTTTTCTCCAAGGTTTTTCAAGGGGGAGAACAAGGACAAAGCCTTTTACCAGAAATGGAACAGATGGTCACTCTTGAGCAGCTTTAGCTATTTAAGAATTTACTGGTACTAGTGAAAAAAGAAGGAAAAAAAAAGGGCACAGTGAAGCAAGATGTCCTTGGCAAGGACAAAAGTCTTTGTTAAGATTTATGAAAATTAAAAAGGGCTTGAAGAATAAAATTTAAGTCACATAACTTGGGAAAGACTGCACAAAAAAAAAATCAGTGAAAGACCTACAAAAGTAACATTTAGTATCATTTCTCCCTTCACTTTATCAGCCAAGCACTAAAGGAAGGATCACAAGTGATCTTTCCTTAAATCTAAGTAAAAACATACTTTTCCTAATAGCACCTAAAGACTGATCTTTTTCATGGTAAAATCAGTGACAGAACCAATCTCTATAGGAACACCAAATATTTATTACGATTTGATTACAGACTGGAGGGAGAATAAAATTCCAGAACATCTGAAGCGTGATGAAGATTTAATTCCTGCTTAGTTATCTTGTATTTCTTATTTATAGAAAACTGGCAAATACTCTATTTAGTTCATTGTTCTAAAACTGTCATATGAAACGTAATATAAGAAACTGCAATGTAGTCATTAAATAGACTTCACTATTATTTATTACCTAGAATTCACAAAATTGCACATCCTACTGAAAAATCCTTAGCAGTCCTGACCATACTCACCACGGGGACCTGGCAGAACAAATGATGCAATACACAAAGCAAAAACTCTCACAAAAACAATTCCTTTCCTAACTAAATTATCCAGGCTATCCTTTTACCTCTTAATGATCTATTTTCTACCCCAATTTTTAAGTTATATCTATTGGTTGTAAAGGCCATAATCTCTTTTTGATAAATTACTCTGCTCCAAAAAAGCCCAAACAACGAAAACTGGCTTGTTGAGTTTGGAGAAAAGGAAACTGGGGGGAGACCTCACTACTATCTGGGGCTTCCTGAGGAGGGGAAGGGCACAAGTAGGTGCTGAGGTTTTCTCCCCTGTGTCCAGTGAAAAGTTTAATGGGAATGATTCTTTTTTAGGAAGCAATTTTTTTTCAGAGAGAACAGTTGGACTGGATGATCACTGTGGGTCCCTTCCAGCTAAAATAAGGCCTTGAGCAAACTGATCAAATAGGAGGTGTTCTCACATTTTCAGAGTTGGAAGTCTGGATCTTAAAAGTCTTTTACCTTTAGAAAAATCCATAAAAATACCAGGGATATTTAATGCTCTTTAGAAAAAGATGAAGTCTAGCTAGTGCTGTCAGAATTGAAATCTGAAAAATAAACTTTCTTCAACTGTAAGATGTGTCTTAATGCTTAAGCTGAACCTGGTTAGTTAAGGAAAATAATCATCATTGTTGATGGAAAAAGCTACCTCCTATATTAAGAAACCTTTATTTAATCACTCTTCATACCCTGTGAGTTTATTTAAGAGAAGGAAAAACAGCCTTGCAAGTTGAATTTAATTCTGTGGTTTAATGACTAACTCATAAGTATGTGTCTTGCATTCATTTTCCAGGAATGTTAATACAGAGCTCTTAGAAACATAAGATTTGTTAACAGTCCCTGAACAATTCTTAGAGATTGTCTCCAAAATATGCTTACTGAGTGACTACAGTTAACATCTCCAGCAGAGTTCTTCAAGATTGGGCCTAAGGAAATCTTTCTACATTCAAAAAATACACTGAGCCTTGTCTATGAGTCTGTTACTTCAATTTTCTGCCATAGCAATAATTAGAATTTGAGTTTCTCACTTTGGTGTTGGTGTGCTATAAAATGCACTGATAGAAGGTATACCATAACTGACAGCTCTGAGTTATCCTGTAATATAAATGCCCAGGTTCCCAAAAAAAGGTTTATGAGCTATTTTCATTTCTGAAGGGAAAACTATTAGCATAATAGTTTGAAAGCATTGAAATTATCACAAGCCCTCCCAACACCTCCCCAAATAAGAATACATCAATGATCAGCTTCCTGATATAAAAATTAAACATAGCTAACCACTGATAGCAATAAATGTAAGATAGAGAACTACTTTAAGGGCAAAACTGTATTTGATGTAGACTTAAAAAATTTTCTCAGGTCCTTTTATCCCATCTTTATCTAAAAGATGACATCTAGACTCAGTCTAACTTACATAAAGTCCAGCAACTATTGGGTAGCATGTGAAATTGTGTGCCTTGCCCAACCACAAAAGGCTGAGTTTGGAAAGGGTCTTATTCAGCCACACTAATCAGTGTTACTCCTGAAAAGGAGGCAAAAACATCTGTGTGAAATCACCTCCTTTTTACTTCCCCTGTGAACATTTAGCTTTTAGAAAGGAGAAGAGAAAGAGAGAGAGAGAAAGCAGAACCTACCTACTGTGATACTCCCCGTTTTGGTCTGAAGGTTGGTATTACCTAAAATGAAAAGGGGGAAAATGTTAAAAACATTATTTTGGAAACATATTACTTATTTATTTATATTAAATATTGTTGCTTTACAAACAAAAATCTCAACACATGCGGGTAACAAGTGATTCCAGACAAGAAAAACTAAGTCAGTGACACCACCTGGATTTGAGGGAGAAAAAAAAAGTAAGAGGAATGTGAAAGGTTAATGCAAAATTATTGTCTTATTTTATTTTGGGCAATTTTTTCTTAATTGCTCTGATATCCTACAATAGCACTATGGATGATTGAAATTCAATTCCATGAATAACAAACAGTTTCTATTTTCCTCTTTTATGCAACTATACCCCACCTCTGCTGGAGGAAATCCTGTATGTTATCTGCAAAGCTACTTCCTGGACCTACTCAACATTTCCTACTCCCTCCAAACTTATTCTGCTTTTCAATGACAACCCCTTGTCAGTGTTTCCATTGACTTCAGTCAGAGTACGTTGGGCAAAGTGGAGAACATCAAACAAAGTGTGTCAGAGACAAAATGTAGAATGGTCTTCTACTGAACCTGCATCACTTTAAACAGCCACAGCTGTTTAAGGCTGTGTTCCAGCCTTAAAATTTCAAAATTCTGCCCTTTCACCCATAACATGAAGAGAATCAGGAAGGACAACAGATGTACCTTGTGACAGTATAGACATCTGTACTGCTAATAGTAACTAAATCGTACAAACTTCTACAGTTCCATGTATAAATGGCTCACAGAAAATGCCTTAAATTAAAAACTAAACCACACCATGTCATCCCTGCCATTCTCTCTATCTCCCAAGAGAAAGAGAGAATGAAGAATAAGGCTGATCACAGAAAGTGAGTGCAGTTTAGTAATACACAATAGTCATAATTCTCAGATCTTTCAAAAGAGGTTTTAAAAACTGCAAATGGATTAATCTACCCTGTTTTATGTAATTACACAGTAGTAAAAACTGATTAGGGCAGAGTGCATTCCACTGTATATGACCTGTATTTTTCTTAGTGGTTCATGGGCTAAAAGCTAAAAAAGCAGCCTATCATCAACAATCTTAAATTTATCTTTTCAAGCACATACTGCACAAAATACTTTGGAGTTCTGAAAAACACAGCAGAAACAAAAGCACTTTTCAATGATCTTGAAAGATATTTGGCTTTACTCTGTGCTGTTTTTAAAAGGCATGCTATAATTATCCCACCCTTATCCTCATTTTATCATGACTGGCACTTAGTTTGGTACAACCTACAAAAAGACCTAGGGTTTTGTCAGCCAGCAGCTCCCATGGAGCAGCTAAAGGTAGATTATATTCTGTCAGCATACAGCCCCTGGGTCTGCTCTTTGTTTATCTGGGGGTTTTCTCTTTTGATAAGTGGATCCTTGAAAAGTATTCAACACGTAGAAATCAAATTCCTTTTAGACACATACTTATATGGCAGAACCACCAATGCTGCACATCAAAACAATGTACTGGTGTGAAAAGCTCACTTCAAGCATCTAGCTAGAACAAAAGCTGCTTTTGAAGCAGACAGGAATGTCCTGCACAGAATTGCACTTTTGGTCATGTACCTGTTGTATGAAGGCCAGTGCTTACCTTAGGATTTTTAAGTCAGGCAAATATTTCTTGGGCATATCAAGGGCAAAGAGAGAAAGACCAGACCAAAGGTGTTTCAACCAAATAATTGATTATTACAACCAACAGATTTCAGCGTAATGCAATACTATGATATCCAAAACATAATAATTTTATCAGAGTATCAAGAGCAGTGCCTTAGTGTTTCGGGGTTTCTGAAAAAAGAGTTATCTTTTCTATTACCTACAATCTTTGTAAAATTTCAAATTACTGTATTGCAATCAGGATCAGTATAGAACCAGGGGCAGAAGATGGATTTTGGGATTTAAAGGCAACACTTTATGCTGTGTTATTTATATTCCTTAAATTTGTTTTGGTGGCTCTCAACAAGGCTGGATTATTTCAATGCACAAAAAGGGAAAATAAACTATTATGCAACTTTTTACCACTTTAGAAATTAATTTTATTTTCATTTCTTTATAGACATGTCTGTACTTTAGTCTGATGAAAATTTAAAATGCAAAGTTACAATTCCACACTACATACAGAAATTAAATGAAAATCCAGAAGAGAAATCCAGAAAAGTAGCTGAACTGTACAGAACACACTTTGGCATATCAAGAGGCATATTTTCTGGAGGGATCATAGAACACCAAGCTCAAGCACTGGACTGCACTACCTTTGGAAGATGGCAGATACTCTACTTTGGTCTTATTCAAGTCATTGAACTTCAAGGCAGTTGTATGTTCACCCCTTCCTGTATATACATTAGCAGGCAAATACATAAAGTAACCTCAGTAACCTTGTTTTCCAGTGTGATTCTTTTAGGTAATTGAATAGTTAATAGACTAGGACAGAAGAAAAGGCCAAGAGCAAATATGAAGTCTACCACAGGCTTTTCTGATGTAAAGCAGCAAAAGCTGAGTGCTGACTGTTTGCAAGGAAGCTTTGCAGGTGAGGAAGGACCTGGGCATCTTGATGAACACCGGAGGGAGTGAGCAAAGAAAGTCAGCTGCACACTGAGCTGTGTGATCAGTACAGACTGCAAGTAAAGCCCACCTGTGAGGCTGCACTTAGAATACTGTCTCCAGTTTTCAACTCAAAAAATATACTGGTGTACTTAACTAAGGCCAGAGAAGGCTATGAGAAGATTAGAGACCCAGGCCAAGCTATACATGCTCTGAGAGCATCTGTTTGTTTTGCTTTAAAAGGAGAAGGCTGAGGAGGAGCCTTCTTGTGGCCTTCAACTACCTAATGGGAGGGTATGGAGGAAAAAAAGACTTTCTTCTCATGGTGATGCAGCAAGAAGGAAGAAGCAATAATGGATACAAGTCATAATAGAAATTATGATTTTTAAAAAGTTTTTTCCCCACCTTTCCAGAAGAATAATTCAGAGTGGACCAGGATGTCCAGAAAGGTCATACAACCTCTGGACCTGAAAATACTCAAAGCTCAACTAGACAAGGCCTTGAGCAAGCTTGGTCTAACTGAGCCCACTTTAAACATTATTTAGAAAGGATTTTGATATCTAGTCCAAATTTGAAGTAGATTTATAAAATAAATTAGTAGTTAATGCAACTCAACCCAAGACTTTGGGACTGCTGCAAAGAGGGGTTTCCTGTTCCTCCCATGTGACCCTTGGTAAAGAAGGTTCACTGTAATGTTATTGTCTCTTAAATAAAGAAATTTCACAGGATCAAATTTCTTTTTCAGGTGTCAATTTAAAAGCTTAATAGCACCTAACATCTCTAATGCCTGTTACAGAAGCTGATGAAAATTACCCAAAACTAACACCTTTCAGAACAATGCATTACTCATTTGCCACAGGAGCATGAAGCATGCAAATGAACAGCTGTGAAAGTTAGAGCTCTACCAGTGTCGTGATTGTACAGCCTGAGTTTCAACCACAAAATGTCTCAGACAGGTTTGTAAAGTCTGTGCTGCCCTAACTTCAATTTTCCCAGTGCAAAAGCAGTGAAATCTAGCTTAGTGCAGGATGTGCTGATTTGATGCCATCTATGGTGTCAGCTGTAGGGAAACTGACTTTTGTCTGTAAACACCTGGACCAGATTGTTTCTTGGGAAACTACTGCAATTGAACTACCCCATGAGCAACAATCAGAAGTCAAAGTAACCATTTTTTTTCTAGCAGAAATTTATAATAGGAGCTATCTTGTCTGCTAGTAAGTGTTTGTATGTGTACTTTAAAAGTCTTTCCTCTATTAAAATATGATTGGGGAACATGATATTTTACTTTTTTTTTCCCACAAAAAAATAGGGTTAAATTACCAAGCAAATGTTAATGTGCAATTTTTTAAAAAACGTACAGCTAACATAATATTAGGTGTTCCAAACCCATTTAGTAGAGAGGCCATAAAAATAATCCTGAAGTAATGTAAGAAATGTCTGCATAATTTGGATGCAATTCTATTTGTTTTCACATTGTTCTTCAGCTTACTGGCAACAGGCATTATTGAAGGAAGTAAGTTATTAACTACAGCACTTATGATTTCATTTTTATGAAATATTTTTCATTTTTATAACAAAAAAATAAACTCTTGGATGAGCACATGAACCTGCTCACAAATTGATCACTCCACAATATCAATAAAAGTTAATTAAAGAAAAAGCCAAACTAGCATGGCTTATCAGACAGAAATTCCAGAAATAATAAAAGTCCACATGTTAGAAAAATACAATAACAAGAGAAAAAGCAGCTTATTTCTGTCGGCACATGCTGAAATTAGCTTTACCTAACAGGTTTAGACACCATTCTCACATTTAATATAAATGGACAGAGGACTTGTTCCTTCAAGGAATAAAAAAGTCATTTTTCAAGCAAGATGACAACATAAAATTGCTAAGAAATTGTAACAAATTCTTTTTAAGGGATATAGCTGAGAATCTGGAACTTTGACAGAGCTGAGTAATTTTCTTTGTACATGCTCCAGTTTGTTTTACTCAGTGTTAAATCACCACAAATACATTACAGCAGTGTCTGAATTCAGTGGGAGTTTTGCTAAATTATGAAACCTCACCAGATTTGAACCTCAACTGCTGCTTAAATAAAAGACTCAGATTTTATTAGTTTTAGATCTGGGGAAAGGACACCAAAGGGTGGATGGATTAGAAACTGCTAAGAAGTTCTAAGAACTTCTTCTAAAAACAGAAACTGTCACCACTCTTAATATAAGGTGCCAGCAAACACACAGGCCAATTCTAATAAAAACTTCTAATTATGACTCTCTCCTACAGCATCTTTGTAGGTCCAAGAGTTGCTTCTCCCATGAAGAAAATAAAGGATGGGGAGAGGGGAAGAGAAGCCTCCTGACAACTTTAAATATAATTTTTAACTGCTGAATATTAGAATACTTTGATGTTCTTAGTATGTGTGACATTCTTTGCTATAATACACACTTTTTGCTATTAATAAGTGTGCTTACGAAACTGTTTTGAAAAATACAGTCTGCTAGGTGGCAAAAAATCAATTAAGTCTCTAATAGAACTGTTCTCATATACTGTGCATAGTTGATTTAGTGATAGTCTACTGCATTAGTGCATTTGTTACTGTGAACATTACTGAACACCTTCAAAGCAGCTTAATTTGTGACATTTTCCTTCTTACCATGAACACTTCCCAGCATAATATCACCAGATTCTGAAGAGAGAGAGGCTGATTCTGCATAGAGATACTTCGTTTTCAGCAGCCCATCTTCAGTAGATATATTGATGGTTGTCCCCTGCAGCTTTTCTATATTTACACTCTAGGAGAAATAAACATAATTGAAAATTTGTCATCACAGCTTGAAAAAGCAGTGGGAAGTAACACTATTAAGACACAAAACAAATGGAAAGCAGTTGTTAGTGGAGGACAAATGGAATCAGGTTCCTAGTTAAAAGCTACACAAGACAAAACAAAAAAACCTTTTCATCCAAGACTCTGACTTAAGGACTAATGAGTCTTCACAACATTCCTATGAGTTATTGCATCCATCACTCAGGTGAAGAACCCAAGTTGTCACAAAGAGATGAAAGAAAAACTTGATTTAATTTTCAAAAATTAAACACTTCATTTTGAAACGAAGGATTAACTTAAATTATGAAGACTGGATACAGCATTATGACACTTAGAGCATTGGTGATCAATTTTCTGCCACCTCAAACTGAAACATCCACTGTCTTTCTTACATACAGCTATTTATGAAGATTTTTAACTGGCTTACTTTGTACATATATCTTTGGTGAAGGTTTGCAAAAAAGCCCCACCCAGCTGCCCTTTTTCTCAGCATAATTTTCCTACTGCCTTGGTTACTCAGGCTTCTATACTTGGACTTAAGCCTCAAGACAGACAAAGCCTTGAAAAACCAGGGATAAGATCTCCATTTCTACTTCTTTTCAATAGAAACAGAGAGAAAGAATAGAATATGAGAAGTTGCACTATGGATTTGGGAAGTAAGAGGTGACAAGTGAGATTATCTATGTAAAAGTGATGAGCCATGTGATAGAACGTCAATCTATTTGAACAAAACAGAACAATTCACATGCTTGTGCAACAACCATATGAGACTGAATTCTATTCTCAGTTAAATCTGATTTATGATGGGAGCATGCAATAGTTCCTACTTGGACCCACACTGAATTTGTTTTTATTTTGCTTAGACTTGCAGTGAATTTCACAAAATCCATACCCATTATAAGAAACTATATATGACTTTCCAGATCAAACTGTGCCTTACTCAAATTATTTTTAAAACTTCCTTGTCATTTTAGCACTGCCATCCTGTGCAAAAAAAGTTGATATAAAAAAATAAGTCTGTCAACCCTCCCAGTCTAATATTATATAAAGAATAAGCTATGGATGAAGAAGTATTCTGACAAGTAGCCACTAGTGTTGCACAAACTCAGTGCTGCACTGTATCCCAAAAACTGAGCTGAAGAGGGTGGTTTAGTATGGACTATATGACAGCCAAATTATACTGTGGCCTTACCCATCCATTCATACTGAAGTACTAAATTGTAAGATTACAGAAGAGACTACTGGCTTAAGAGTTTTCCCATGATGCTACAATACAGATTAGATCTGCAATAATTTAGCAAGATACATTAAACTTTAAGAAAATCAAAATGCTATGCATAATTCATGGTACAATTGGAAATCCATGACAGTCAGTATCTACAATCACTGCAGGTGTTGCTGCTTAGGGCTATGCTACAGATAGAAATAAAATCCAGTAATACAAAGCACAACTTGTCACTACTATAACAGACAGCAAGTCAGCTTTTCATCATCTGCTGCTTGCAACAAAACCTTATTAACCAGAGATCTTAGACATTAATTTACATTGCATGTGCCCTAGGAATGTTTCCCACAAAGCAGCCCCACACTCCCTCACCCTGCATGGCAAAGCACAAACCTGCTTTGACACGTGGCCACAGCCACAAGTCAAGGGAAAGCCACTCTCCCTTTAGGCATCATGATCAAACCTGTTCTAAGAGTTAAATGACTTGCAAAGAAAGAAATTTTCAAATTTTCCATTTGAACAGGGCCATCACTGATATCAGCACACCGAAAATAAAGCAAAGCACACTTTAAAGGGGAGGAATAAAATGAAAATATCTGCATAGTTTGGATACAAACTGGCTGCCTTGTGACATTCCTAAGCAGGCAAAGGGAAATTCAAAAAGCTACCTCTCTTACTATAGAATGCAAGTTTTAACTCTATTTAGACATATTGTTTTATTTAAAAATTAAGTGCTTTGTTGTAAACAATCTCACATACCAACTAATTTACCAGCCTCACCTACCTTTCTTAAAATTGCACAGTAATAAAAAGAGTTGTCTCAGCTCCTGATCAAAAGAAGTTACTATGAACAGTAAAACAAAAACTACCAACACAAAGGATGTTTGTTTCAGAACAACCCAAATCAGGGTAGGGGCATGGAGGAGGGGAAAGTCAACTGCTCAAGTATAAGAATAAAAAAGTATTTTAGATAGGGAAAGCATGGAAAAATAGGACTGCTTTTCAATGAAAATAAATATGCTTTCAATCCCAAATTCTTTAACTCTTGTGGATTTTTGGCAGAACATAGATGTCTGGCTCTATAAGCAAGTGTTATAGAAAAGTCCCCATGGCTCAGATTAGCTAGTAACTCCCCAGCAAAACAAATCTCCTTATTTTGTCCATTGAACCACCAGATCTTCTGGAAAAAATTCCTTCCCTTGGGCACAGAGCCTCGGGGGTTGCAGTTACTGAAACTGACCACACGCTCAAGTTCCACTGGTTTCATCTGCCTAAATCAGACTGAGAAGGTTTTATACCTGAACACATTTTCAAGATAAAAACTAGTATATTTTTGTGTTTAAATAAGACACATACAGCTTCTTCTCCACATATTCATGCTCTTAGCCTTCCTTTTTGGGCTATCACTGTTCAAATGTTTTACTAGTGTCTTCTCACACTTCCTCCCTTAAAAAATCTTCATTTCTCAAGTGCTTAATGCCTTTTACCACATCCTCTCCCTCCCCACCTCCAGGAGGGGGCTGGAAATGCTGACAGAGCCATAATTACATAATGATGACTGCAACTGATGGAAGAAACATCTCATACAAACACACAGAGGGGACATAAGGCTGACTGATTATTAACAGAAGTGGCCGGTTGAGAAAAGAAATCCATCCTTCCTAAACACACTACAAAGTTTGTTAGTGAGAGGTTCAGTAACATAAGCCAAAATATTGTTCTGTAGCTGTAAATTTGTGCTAAAATGACTCACTTCACTCAAGTTACTACAGCTTGACAGCTCTAAGATTGACCTCTTGTAATATTACACACTGTATACAAATATTCATGATCACAAAGAAGCACTGCAACTTAATCTGTATCATATTTGTTTTAATGTTTCAGAAGGATGGTGTTTCTGAAAAGCCTCAATTTTTAAAAAAGCATTTAAAGGCTCAAAGTAAAACAGTCTTCTATATGAACTGTATTTTCCCATACAGATACAATTATTACATTTATTACATAAAAGGCAGTCTAACACTCACAAAGAAACACAGATACATTAATGCTGACAGTTTTTGGAAAATCCAATGGCAAGCTGCTTAGTTTACAGCAGGATATTAAGAACAGCTCACAGCTGGCTCTAGCAAAGTGAGCTGATCTAGGAACCCAACCTATAAGGTGTACAATAGTGCCAAACAGCGCTTCACAGAGATGACTTTGGATGCCTGGAATTTAATAGTTTGGTCTCAAATCTATCCTTGGCAAAGGAGGGTTACCCCCCACTGCCTGATTCTCCCCAGTGCTTCTGGTTTTAAGGGTACCTATGGATTCTGACAGAACAAATGTCCAAGCTACTGCCAGGCTCAGCTTGGCTCCACATGTTCATACAGCAACACCCCAGATCTAATGAATCCCAGTGCAACCAGTTGCATGGACATTACAATACCTAAAACCAAGACTGGGTGTGAGAACCACAAGGAATTTAGCTCTACATTATTTTAAATAAAGAAGAATTGCCTGCTTATGCCAAGAAACAAAACCAGAGTGCAGTAGTTTGTGGTTAGTCTCATACTGCCATCTACTGTAAAAAACCAAGCTAGCTCTCTACAAAAATATTCTCTTCATGATTCTTCACACTGCATCTCATAGCAAGATTATACGTGTTTATATTAAGTCTGCAAAACCTTCTACTCATCCATTCTTATAACTATGTAACACTAGAAGAGTACAGCGTTTACTAATATCAAGCCACTATCCACAAGGCACCAAATTAATCTCCTGAGCCTTCTGCAGAATCCAAGTGCCCACATATTAACCAAAGAGAGAGTTTAAGAATGTTGTGAGGGGTCTGTATAATTAAACCTGATGGGTTTTATCAGTAGAACAATCTCTGTACTGATGGAATGATGACTTATTCCTGCTTTCTGTGAATCCTGTTTATCAATCCAAATCAAGCATAGGATAATATAATTTAACAGACAAACCTAAGAAACAGTGAAATTACAACCAATGAGGGTTATTTACATATTCTTCAGAACATTCTTTGAATTTATTCCTTTTACAAGAAATGAGGAGAATAAGCCATTGAAGAGAAAGTTTTACTTCCTACTTACCCCCTTTTCTGTTGCACAAATATCTGTATTTCCATAAAGTGTTCCAAGACCAATTACTTTGCCACCGTTTGTTCGTATATCAATTTTATGGCTCTGAAAAAAGTTTAAAAATCATACAGTTAGGATAACTTGTAGTTATGGTTATCTTATTTTTCAAGCTGTACTACATTAACCACTGCAGGCCTTAGTCCTACAAGTCCTACAAGCAGAACCAGATTCTACAGTTTCACTACACACAAATTCTAATTAAAATTGTTTTGCTTAATGCAAATCTCAAGTTTTTAACTAATAAGCCAGGTTCCAAGTAAAAACTTCTTCATAGCTCTTATACCCTTTCAGCTGCTGCTGCATACAACCAACAAGAAAAAAAAAGTACAAATACACATAAACCAGTCTCAAAATGCCAAAATAACCCCACCAGATCTTGAGAATAAAATGCAACCATTTGTAAAAAGAAAAAAATATTTAAAAAATCAGATTTAAATGAATAGATTGTTCTCTCCTTATACCTGATGAATTAATTGTTTCAACATGGCATCACAGTTCCTTTGAGGCATAATGCTTGTTATCAGAATAATGGTTAAACAGCAAATCCTCCAAATATATAACTTTGGAGGAGACTGTGGGAACTTGCAAGACTGGAAAAATTAGTGTATAGCAAGGGCTCACCAGAGTGGCCACAGACAGGTTCAGTAAAATAAAACTACAACACACACACATTCCCACCACCCCAAATTATTAGAGTATCTTCCTAAAAAAAAAAGCCAACCAGGTTTTCAGAAGTAGGTGTCTCTAGAGACACCTAACAGACAGAAGGATTTGCTGAGAGAAGAAATCAGTTACAGTGGTCAAGCAGCTTTTTCACTAAGTGGAAATATTCCACCAGCTGAAAGAAAAAAGCACTGATTTTTCACACGGCTTCTGCAAGCAAGGGAGAAAGGATTGAATAAGGAAGAGGCAAAAGGTTGTCAAGACCTTAACAGATGTCAGAGGAAAACCAGAAAAATTTGTTCAGGAGAAGAGAAGGAGACTGATGCAGGATGAATCAGGCTCAGACATGGGGAGTGGTGAGGAAGCATAACAGTGTGAGTGAGATGCTTGGAAATTCTTGTTATCACCAGCATAGTGAAGGAGTCAGGAGTAATTGAGGAACATGGAAACATAATTAAAGGGTCTTCCTGGTGGCATTGTCATAGTAAGCATGACAAAAAAAAATTAAAAGAAGGAGCACTACTTTTTCAATAAAGAATTCATGAATAATTCATACTCTGAAGAAGACCTAAATGCCATAACTGTATTTTGGAATCTCTGTTGCTATCAGTTGACCTAGAGACTTGGACGGGATAGGGTGAACTGGACTTCTGCCAAATAAAAAACAACCACCACCCAAAAAAACCCAACCAACCAACCAACAAAAAAAATATCAGTAAAACCACCCTTGACAAATTGCACTGGCTGGAGGATAATGTCTGCCAGAAAAAAAAACTTCAATAAGCCTCCTAGAGACTCCTCCTTTTTGTTCAATTACTAGTATGCATTATTAAGCAAAGTAGATGTCAAATCTCCTAAGTCTTTTGTAAAGACACTATAGATTGTATTAAAAAAACCCCAAAAACATGTTCTTTCAAATTACAATTTATACAACTTCTTGCAAGTTAAGAAAATTAGCAGTTGTGAAGCTGTTTGCTGGTGCTCTTGAATAATCCCTACATGACCAGATTTTTTAATTTAAAGTCATTTATCAATGACCTGTTTTTCTCTCCTGTAAAAAAGGGTCTCCTGATTTGTTAGTTAATGAGATTTGTTAATAACAGGGAACCAACATTAAAACTTTAATCCATCCAGAAGAGGGCACTATCACTTCAGCTTGCTCAGTAAAGCAAATTCCATAACAGGGAATCAGCTCTTATGCTTCACTACAGCATCAGGTCCTTAATATTTTTAGTAGTTTTGGAAAAGCCCTGAAGGCTAATACTTCTGTTTCTCCCAAATAATTCTGCTCCTCTGATAATACAGAATATAATTCCTGAAGCTTTAGTAGAAAAAAGTAGTTCAGTCACCTTAATAAAACCACAGTACTTAAAAACAAGATTAGACTAAAACCTAGCTCTTAATTTTTAAAATTCAAGATATTTCCCATCTTGGATTCTATTTGAGACAAGATTCCCAGAAGATAAGTTAGCAGTCTTTCCTCAAAACCATCTTTTTCCATGACACCACAAAAAATTCTTGATGTAATGGCATGCCATGATAAATGTCATTACTGCTGGCCGAAACCACCTTGCCTTCTCTTATTATGCAGTTTCTCATGCACTGTTGTTGTCGTTACTACATAAGACTAATTTTTAATGAAAATTTTAGATGGGCATCACATAGTACTATTAAATTCTGTTAGATTTTAGGTTCCTTTATAAGAGTAAAATGGTCAATCACATAGAATGTGGAAGGTTCAAGTTGTCTATAGTTTCCTACATGTAGAGGAAACCTAGTCCATTGTATACTACACCCCTCCCTAAGCTCAGTATTCCCTACATCTGTTATAAAATCATCTCTTACCACATCAGAGAAGAGTATTGAAAAATTTTTCTTATCTCAAAAAAATTGGCCTTTCTTTTGAATTTATACCAATTCCTGCAGGTGCAATGCCAAACAATCGAGTGAATTTGATTCCAAATAGCACCTAAGTCAGATAAACTGTGATGAATTTTACAACAGCTTATGTCAGCAAACAAAGTGTTAAGACTGAAAAGACAAGCCTCTGATACATACAGTATATATCAGATCTATTTCAGTCAGGTATTTTGGACATGTAATATGTAACTCCTGATTGAAAATTAATTTAAATGGATCGTCAAAAGCTGTTATACCAATTATTAAAAAAACCTCAAAAAACAAAAAAACCCACACATAAAAAAAAATCAGCAGCATGTCTCAAAGTCTTGATTGAGCAGGCATAACTATTAATCTACTAGACAGGAAATCCCAGTCCATTTTTTTTCCTTTGAGGGGCAGGGAAGACAAGGATCAGGCTTACTGCTGTCAATGTTTCTGCTGGCTTTGGCTATCACAGATACATGGACTTCTGACTCCACCTTATTTACTGCTATTTACTTTGTGCTGCAATTGTATGCAATAATGAAAGGTGAGCTGCTATACACATAGCAATGTGAGTGTTGCAATGAGAATTATCAGAGTACTTCTCATCTCCGGAACTGGTATTTTTGACATTATATACCACCACACAATCCCTTTTCAAACAGTAGGGAAGGGTTCTTTGTACCTTTATTGACTGCAAGACACTAGTCCCCTTCTCTGTTTCTATTTTGCAGCTGTCACATTCTATTTTCTGAATCTTCACACAGCCAGTCCCTGATGTTTTGATATCCAAATCTAGAATTAAAAGAGTTTTATTAGCAACAGAACAAAAAAGTCTTTAAATTTAATATTTTTAATGTTGAAGTATTTGATCATGTTATACAGTAACCATATGTAGTAAGGAAAAGAGCAGCTTCTTTATTACTTAAGAACCTGCGGCTGTGTCTGGCCATGCACTTTGAACAGCCTGAGTAGTCACTACCAACCATGGACACTTAAAGTTTAGCAAGCCAGTGTTTGAGCCATCCAGCTCCAGGACAGAACATTAAGAAGTAGAACGACAAACCTGTGGCAAGGAATCAGCAGGGTGTGAACCTTTAGTGAAGTCTCATCTTTCTTCAACTCCACCTCCATCTCCTAGCCACCCATTCCTTTAGAAATTCTACTTTGGACATTTGGGCACCCTGACACACATTTTGGGGTAGAAGGTTGGCAGGTGTCTGAGGCCATATGTAGAATAATAAGGCTCAACAGCACAAATACATAGGCCTTGCTGCTCCATTAGCCAGCACCAGAACCCAAAACCAGGCAGAGAAGAGTTGGTGTGCGTCATCCTCCCCAGCCTTCTAGAAAGCCTGACGTTCCCCTGGCATGAAGAAGCATGTTTGCCTCCACAGTCTGAGCCACCTCACCTTGCAACTGTTCATAGACTCCCACAAAGAAAAATCACTAGGTCTTGTAGATAAGGTGCAGAGGCAGGAAAAGCATTTTTCTGCTACTTGTCTCACCCTTGGGTTTAAGAAATGGAAGAAGTTTGACAATGTATAGTCTGGGGATTCTGTATATATTAATAATAATTTCTATTAATCATTTGTATAAATGACCACCATAGTGGCTGCCAAAAAAGTAAAGGCAGGAGGGGAAAGAAGTGATTTTGTTCTTCTAAGGATAAAAGGCAAAGAAAGAAGAAAAACTGAACAGCAACCAGAAGTGTTTGCTGCAAAACACAACTGAAGGACTAAGAGACAGTGAGCCCCATTACTCCCTAAAGGAAAGGAGATTATTTGGTAATGAAACCTCTGTTTAAGCAAACGTCAAAGTCTTTCCTTCACTGCCACTGCCTGCTAAGGGTATCAGAAAGATGAAAAGAATAATTAGAATGTGCAAAAGCTTTGTCCCAGGGAGACTGCCAAGTAAGACCCACAGTCCAGCAGAGCCTGTCGATCAATACTGTCCCACTGCTGCCCAGGACAGGTGCTTCCTGGAACCATGACAACAGTAAGCTTGCAGACCATGAAGACGAAGAGACTGAGAGCTCCAATTAATAACAAATGCAAGTTTTGTCACCTGGCAAATGAGGAGAATCCAAGGGACAGAGCTAAAACAGACCACTTTTGTAGCAAACGCTACCTTATGGCAGCAGTAAGCCAAGAGGTTAAACTCAGTGAAGGAAGTAGGGAGCATTCAAAGGTAACAATTCCTTTGTTAAAAGAAAGAAGAAAAGAAAGAAGAAAGACAAAAAGCTACAACAGGTAGACTGGAAAGCAATGTTGTTTTTGAACAAGCTATCTTTCCCAGACTGCTTAAGTCACCCACTGGACAATGGCAGAGTGCTTGGGAAGGTCTACAACCAAGACTCTTGCTAGTTTGCTTTCTGAGAAGAGAGTCCCAAAAGCCAGTTTGCTTGTGCGAATCTTTGAATTCAGTCAGCTTGAAACTCTCCTGCTCTTACTGCATCTGTCAAAAGGGATGAGGAAAAGACCTGAGAGTGCTCAGTTCAGCCATGCTACAAATTCACTAAGACTTTTACGAGAATAAGGGTAATAAGAAAACTTCTGATCCTGTACAGCATATTACTGCCATCATTTGAAAGGTGGGTTAGTAATGTAATCCTAGCTATCAAAGATGGGTGCCAAAAGAGGACCCAGAAGTTTGAAAATTCATGAACAAGTCATTAAGAAACACCAGGGACTTCTGGAAATACACTTTGTGCCTTGATCCTCTGCAGAGTCACACCACTTTGCTAGCCTTGATATAACAAAAATTAGTGGACAAGGAATTGAGCCCCTCTGACTCTTTGCCTCTGAGTTCCTGAACCAAGGATAAACAACTCCATAAAGAAACAGACTGAAAGCTGGATAATATTGCCAATGAAATTTTAACAAGGAGGAACAAGATACAATCTGTTTCGGTGCCAAAACTCCAAAAATAGCCAGTTTGATTCCTCCCTAGAAAAGACAAGGGCTGAAGCCAACTTTAGCCACATAAACCACAAAGAACGCATGAAGTTCTTTGTGGTGTTTGTATCAGAAATAAAGGTATGTAGGAAAAAAGAAACACTTGGGTACCAGAATGTATGCAGAGGTACCCTAGGGCATTTAAGCACCCTTCTTATTAAGCTGCCTTAAGCTATAATACTTGAAATAAACTGGATAATTATTTATTTTCAGATGACTCAGCAGCCCTGGACTACTAGAATTATCTCAAATTATGGTTATGCAAGCTCTCAGTTCAGTTTACTTCTGTGTACTCATGCAGTCAATGTACAGTAGCCAGAAATCAAAGAGCTGGTTTCAGGTTTAATTAACATATGCAAAAATAAATAAGTTTGATTAAGCAGAAATTCCTTGACTGAATCTGCCATCTATGAAGGCTAAATGTATCAGAGAGGATTATCAGATCATGTATGATATTGTAATCCTATACAGAGCTCAAAACTAGACACTGAGACAGAGAGAGGATCTTTTGGTACTTGCCCTGCTTTGGTTTAAAATGCATACTTAAGCTCAGCATTTTCTATGCATGCTCTTCATTCAGGGTCTAAGGAGTTTTAGGTAAGTTGCAGCTTCCTGGATAAGCTCCAACCTAAATTGCAAAAGCTGTTATGAAATGCCTTAACTTCCAAAGTGAAGAAAACAAAACACTGAAAAGAGATTCACATCAACCTCTCAACTTCTTACAGCTTAGTGACTGATCGAGCTCAGGCAAAATTGTCTAAGCAGAACAGAGTTAAAATCTTGCTCTCTCATCCAAGGAAAGCCAGAGAAAAGCCACAGTATTTGCAGAGTTCCTTTCCAGTTTGAGATGTGTTTTTACAAGGGATAAGATCTTTTGCTTATGCAATGATATTTAATGGATAATTCTTTTCTAAATAAATAAATAGAGCAACTCAAGCACAAACTAATACTCAGAAGATCAAAAAAACAAACCAGAGCTGAAAGGACACTTAAAAGTAGAAACTCAGTGGCAAGCAAAAATTCTAATTCACTGAGTAAAAACTTAAAACACTCAAACCCCACAATCTTACATTTTTGTAAATGTATCTCTAGATGCACCTGGATGACAGCACAGTACTAACATCATGCTAATTATGGGATGACAAAGAGCAACTTGTATAAGGACATAATCCACAGATTGTCCAGGGAACCTGAATTGCATGAGCTTACCACAAACCCAAGTGGAACAGCTTAGAAACCGACAAAAAAAAGAAAACCTGCCCCTAAGACTGTCTGTAGTTTTGGCTGACATTCAGAATATAGTAAGAATTTCAAAGACAGGACAAAAGCGAAATTATTGTTTTCCATCTATCAGGATTCAGTATCAAGACTTTCAGGAAGGTTTCCCACATTGAAACCCTTTGTGAAGACTGAAATTCTTCACATCTTAACACAATTAATTCTGCACCTCAAGAATAACCAGCTCTGGAGTGACTTATAATAGTCACTCAGAGATCCTGGAGAAACTGAAATAGTAAAGGACCACAGTATCCAGCCACATCTGGTATCAGAGAATTGAAGGGTAAATGGGACACTAGTTTGTTTAATTCTCATTAATTATGGGATGGACTCTGTGAATGCTACAGACAAGCCAAGGTAAGTGCTTGCCAAGTAAGGGAGGGAAAATATAAAAAGAGCTGTAAGATAGCAACTGCAGAGTTAAGACTACAAGACTCTTGGAGAAGACAGTCCAGCTACAGTTCAGTGACAGAGACAATGAATATAGAGTTAACAGATGATCTGTTTAAGAGAACAAACTTGGGATTTTCAAGTATCTTTAACAATATCCTTAGTTCCATATTATCTTTCAGCTATAAACTATGCACCATCTTCAACAGTACAAGAAGTTGTAAATCACCACAAATAGCAAGGTTGAAAACTTTTATCAATGACACCAAATTTTTCAGACTAGTTAAAACTCACTGACAAATTACAGGAGGACCTTGGAATACCACATACTCAAATGATAAAATAGCAGGAAATTAGCAGGGATTGTGCCAGGAGTTCACCAGGAAGCTCTCACCCTGAAACTGTTTCCATGTGTAAAGGGACATTCAGCAGAGAGATCCACTGAGGGGTTGAGCTGTATCAGGCTCTGAAAATACTGTGATGAAAAGAGTTGACAGCTAAGAGAATGCTTAGATGAAATACAATTTACACTTGTTCTGTTCATACTCTTCCCCGAGCATGTGTTTATGACCAGAGACAGGGAAGTGGGCTGCTGGAGTCATGGCATTCCTCATGGGAGGAATGAGTACAACCATTCTAACAGAGCAAAGCAAGCACACTGAGGACAGGAAGGGTGAGATTATATGTACAAATATTCTGTACTTAATTACAGAATATTTCTGCATATATTAGTTTCTAGGGAACAAAACAAACCCTAAGTTGTGATAAAAATACTTAAGAAACACCCCTTCATTTATAAGCAGCGTTAAAAAAAAAAAAAAAGTAAATTATAGGGATGAGTAAGACTGGAAAATGTGAGAGTGATGTTATGTCAAACCCATAGGGCTTCTCCATTTTGAATTGTACACAGTTCAGGTCCTTCTAAAAGAAAACAAGGTAAAAAAAAAAAAAATGCAAAATTTTCCCAAAGACACAGGGCTGGAAAAAAAATGAAGTAAGATAAAAGGGGCAGAATGTCTTTGCTGTATGCGACATCATATTCTACAAAAGTCTTAGACTGAATGTATTAAGAGTAAGTAAGGTGGGATTATTCATCATTTCTCATATCACAACTGCAACAGAGCTTTAAATGAAATAATGCAGTCATCTTCAATAACTTCAAATGAAACAAGAGACCAGGTGCATCAAAAAGTTTTTTTCAGCACGGTGAAACATTCTGCACTGTATAGAAAATTTCCCAAATCCATAGGAAAAAACCAAAACCACATTAATAACTGAATACAAATCTCTGAGTTTGTACTCCCTACACTTAGGGGCCCTGTCAGAACTGCACCGCCAGCTCAGCAGAGATGTTTATTGGCTTCAGCCACTACAGCTGCTCTCCCAAATTGTGCTCCATACGAGAAACCCTGCACAGATTACAGCCCTGTGCCCAAAAAAGATAATGAAACACTTGTACTGGACAAGGGAGCCCTTCCTGTTATTCCATCTGTATCGTTACCTTTTGCTCCTGCGGACACAGCGTAACTAACACACGCTGAGGGAGCGCCTGGATCCCGGCAGGCCCAGGACGCTGCCTCGGAGCCGGCTCCCTTTGGAGCAGCAGCTGCCGGATCACAAATGACAGTGCTAACACCAGCTCAAGTGTTAGCACTAACTGCTGCTGGCAAAAGGGTCAGCAACCAATCGCGTATCCAACCAGCCAGCAAGTCCGGGAACACAGGAAGCAGAACGGGATGTTCTCAATCAGCGCGGCCGCGGTGCCGTTTCCCAACAGGGGCTTCCAGCCGAAGCAGCAGCGCCAGCCCATGCCCGGTGGGATGCCCCGATCCCTGCGCCTCCCCCGCACTCACCGAACTTCACCGGCGTCCGGACGTCCACGGCGGTCTTGCTGTCCACGCCGTCCGCCACGATCGCCACCTGTCCC